CTGCAGAGATGACATTCAATCAACATCCTCTGAAGCATGGAGGTTGACTGATGCTCCGGGTCTCCTTCCGTTCTACTATTCCCTGGTTTTATCTGATATTTCAAAGGCATCTTTTCATGCGCTTCACTTTTAGCATGTTTTATAACTCCATTTTACACACTAATTACTTGATCCCTAATCGCTCTATTTCTCAGGAGATAAAAGGATAGAAATTGACTGTTTTTTGAAGACACCATTAAAATGGAAGTTTGTTAATGGCTTTGAGTATGGCAGTCCCCAAAAGAGTTAATCAAACAGATTTGTGTCTGTGGCAGATAGTTAAGGCATGTGGCAAAGTGTTCTGATCGTTTAAATGACAATGGACTGCAATTAAGGTTTGATCAAAATTGTGTATGGTGCCTAACTTTTGTGTAATCATATTTTTTTCCAACATAATTATAGTGTGCGCACAAAAGTTCACCAATAACTTTACTTTGCTATTTTTCCACATTTAACTTTTTTTCCACTTTTTCAATTTTGAATTTTTCAAAGACTATTGTATTTTTTTTTGACGGGGAAGACTATGAAGTAACTCTGTGAGATTATTAGTTGAGAGGCTGATTTCAGATCAAGCTAATGGCAGCTCCTATGCTTCACCCAGTTCGGAGAAAAAGGGGGATCATATCTCTCCTATCCTAGCTTCTCTTCATTGGCTTCCTGTTAAATCCAAAATAGAATTTAAAATCCTCCTTCTCACATATGAAGCCTTAAATAACCAAGCTCCATCTTATATCAGAGCACTTAACTCTCAATCTGCAGGTTTCCTAGTGGTTCCAAGAATTTCTAAAAGTAGAATGGGAGGCAGATCTTTTAGTTATCAGGCTCCTCTCCTGTGGAACCAACAACCAGTTTTAGTCCAGTTTAAGACACCCTGTCTACTTTTAAGTGTAGGCTTAAAACTTTCCTTTTTGATAAAGCTTATAGTTAGAGGCTCAGGTTATCCAGAGCTATCTCTAAAGTTATGCTAATATAGGCTTAGACTTGCTGGAGGACATACGGAGCCACTTTTTCATCATTCTGCTTCATTCTATTTCTATTCTCCCACTGTAAAATTTGTCAGTTCAATCTCTAATGTTATGCTCTCTCTGCTTTTTCTCATAGTAGCTTCCTCTGGTCTGTACCTGTTTGGCTGTGAATCCATCCTGGAGAGAAATATCAGCTGTGCTGCTGCCATCAACACCTTTGTTTATAGATGTTGGAGCTTGGCCTGTTTTTCAGTGTAGTCCCGTTTCTCTGACTGTGACTAACTGGATGTGCTCTCTTTCATCCTCGGACATGGGAGCTGGCTAGAAGCTTGTCTGCCTGGCTGTGTTTCCTGGATGGGGCCATCTGTGGTGCAGGTTGACAGCTACCTTTTGTATCTCTGCTTCTTTTTCTGTCTGCTTCTGTCTCCTTGAACCCCAGTCGGCCTCAGAAGATGGCCGCTCAAACTGAGCCTGGTTCTGCTGGAGGTTTCTTTCTGTTAAAAGGGAGTTTTTCCTCTCCACTGTTGCTACAAGCATGCTTAGTGTGAGGGTTTACCTTTCAGTCCATGAGTTGATGCAATCAACAGTTTTTTCCTTAGAAAACTCTGAATCTATTTAACTGTATGATCTGGTTGAATTGTAAAGTGCCTTGAGATGACATGTTGTGAATTGACGCTACATAAATAAACTGAATTGAATTGAATCAGTAAAAACTCTATCCAGGGTTGGAAAAGAGCTGCGGACTGCTGTGCTGAATCTGGACAGCATTCAGCCTGACATCATTAGGGGTCAGAAACACAAAGTCTAAACACTAATCCTCAAGAAAACAAACTACAAAAAAACAAATGTAGTAAATGGCCAAAGCTCTCCATCATAAAACCACAAAAAAATTAATGTGCGTATTTTGCATGTGTCACAAGAGTGCATGTGATCAAATAATGTATTTTAGGAATGTCTAATGATAGTTACCTCAGAAGGTTCCTCTGCAAACTGAACTATAATAGAAAGCATCCTGCTTCCTCATCCTACCTCCTTCTTTACTACCATTTTGACAGTGATGTGGCATCAGCTGATACACTTTCACTTAGGTTTAAGGCCCCTTACTGCTTGGCCCAATTTGGACTGAGTCTGTGTCTTGCAGATTAAAAGTGGAATTTCCACTTCTGAACCACAGAGGTTGAGGTCGGCGCTTTTCAAAACGAATGAATCTGTCATAATCCCGGCAGTGATGCTGTGGTCTTATTTCTCACAAGACGTACCTGCTCCGCTCCGCGCCATTCTATTACTACCTATCAGTATATAACCAGCCTTCAGACCAGTCATCAGTGCCAGATTATTTCGAGCCATTGGTGAGATCTATTCTGATTCCTGACTTCCTGCTTGTTTCTCTAAACCTGATCTTTCCCTGTTTCTGAGCTTGCCTGATCCCTGTCTGACGCTGATCTGTTTGTCCGCCTGCCCGTTGCCTAACCTGGAATTGTTTCTCGACCGCGTCCTGGATTCCCCTCTGGTGCTTCATTGGACTTGGTATAATGACAGTTGTGCCATCCTCTTCTCATTTGCAGAAAACAAATCAAGCAGAACTCTGAGGTTTTCAAACCTTGAGATGGAGGCTCATATCTCAATCCTGCTTTAAACTTCTCCACAGCTTTACTCCTGAAATATTAGCTGTGATCATTGGGAGGTTTGTTGACTCTCTTCTCAAACAGCTTTTTTTTATTTATCATGTTCGATATATAGAGGCAATTATCTTCTCTGGATTTTATAGAGACTATTGGAGTAGAGATTTTTTTTATGATCTGGGACTCAAAATCTCAAAATTACCTGTTTCTAATATGGCAAAATTTCTAACTTTTTAAGAAATTTCGACATATGTAGTGGTACAATTATAATATTTTACCACCATCTGATCCAACTTTATTTGTATGGCCTCAAATAAGAAATGTTTTTAAAAAGTTGAAGACTTTCTCCAAATTAAGAAGCAGCTTGGTGTTTTCTCCTGTCCCACACTGGCGCCTTTGTTGAAAACTCAGCTTTGACATCAGCTGGGTCGAACTGGAGGGAGGGAAGGAGCACAGCAGCTGGACCGAATCATCAATGTCACCCTTGTTAGCCAACTTCATCAATGTCAGTCACTGGCGTTGTGATTTATTTTGCTCTTTTCCTTCTGCATACTTCTTATCTCTTTGTCTATGAACACACTGTTTAGGAGAGCATTAAAACTGTCTGACTGTGTGCTGGTGACATCTAGCATGTGCAGCTCACAGGCATGCTGACAATAAACACATTTTGTGAGCGAAAGTTAATTGAATGCATCTTGCAATCTACTGTGCAGAGAGCTAAACAAGTCTGTCGTGCCACCATATTGCGTTTTGCGCTGAGAATATTAAATATAACAGGAGAGAAGAGAGAGTAGATTCAACTAAATATAGCTTGAAAAAAAAACTTTTCCTTTAAACATGTATTTGATATAAATCCAGGTGTTCTTGTGAAAACCAGTAAAAACCAGATTATACAGTGAAAAGAGCTGCTCCACACGCTAAAACAAGCAATAAAGTTTAGATTAGGACTTTGGCCTCTCTTCTCATCCCCCTTTCTGAAACCAGCGGCTCCACAAATAATGACTGGCAGCTGAAATGGGACTTTGTGACTTTAAGATGTGACTCGGGGAGATGTGCTCCATCTATTGTTGATGAGACAAAAGCGCGAGTGAGATTCATATAAGGGTGGCGGGGAATAACTTCTCATATCCCCATATCAGTCACAAAGCCGTCCAGCTAAACTTCAATATCCCCGCTCTTCTTTCTGGACATGGGTGAGTGCACAGAATTTCTAATACCTCTTATCTCTTATTAATGTAATTTGAAGACTGTGGATTTTCATAACTTGCAAATGTTGCCTTTTAATGTGTCTTTGGACCCCGTTGACCTTTTTGCACTGTGGGCAAAGCTTGCTTGCTCTTTTTTTTCCTAGCCTTTCTTTCTCTTTTTTCTTTTAGGTACATGTACATTTTATTTATTGCTAAAATATTCTGGATGACTTTTTAAGCTCTGTAACCAAAGATGATTTCACACTTAATGGAAAACGTTTTTTTTACTGCAGATGCATTTCATCCGGTTCAGATCTATGGTTTGGCATTATTCTAAGACAAATCAGAAAGGACTGGTGGGGATTTGGTGTTATGCGACTGAGAGAAGTCAGGCACTTACATAACCTAACAAACACCTTGTGTGCTTATCTTTGCATAATGATTGTTTTTATAAACTTTTGCATATTCACTGCAACTCATGTAGATGCAGTCAAAAGAAATCTTGTGAGGTACCGGTCACATTCATCAAGCCACAACAACAACAGCATATTTCCTCTGCAGTAGATTGTTATTATCTATAGAGTCTATCCCTCTTCCTCCTGTTAGAGTTTATCATTTAGTAGAACTTAAATGTACCCCAAGATCCTTCTCCCGCAAAATAAAATGACACAGATTCTTCAGAAATCTTTCAGGGATGATTTTAAAAGTCTTCTGAGAGTTGAGGATCTATAAGGTTTCATGTGCAGTTGTTGCCATTTTGAATGTTGTTGTTATTGCAAAGACGTTTGAATTACAACCCCACCCCATTTTCTGCCCGTTTTCCTTTGACCCACTCTCGGATCACTTGAGTCGGGCCCCTGCCCACGCTGACACTCAGTGCCAGCCTCAGCCAGCTGCGCATAGCCAGAGTAGTCACTCTGCCAGCGATGCTTAAACATTCCTGATGACCCCTTCTGCCATCACTCACTACACTGTTTCTCATGATGGCCTTTTGTTTGTTTGACATCACTGCTCTTTGTCCATCTCCGATCTCTCCAAACACAAAGAACATTGTTTCCGCCAACAACAAAGAGAAGTACTTTCTTTCTTCGGGCTCTCAGTGAATCCAGGGTCTCACCACCGTCCCTGAATGGCCTTGGTGACGCCCGTGACCGTCGCTGAAAGAGGGGCCGGACCAGATTTACTTAGGACTAAGCTGTGAGGTGTTGTCCAGTCACATACGTATGAAATCAGCGCAGAAGCGTAGCAATATTGTACAGTAGGGTAACCTTGTACATAACTGCTTGGTTTGAGGGATCTCTTCTCGTTGCGGAGTACGGCATCACGGGCAGCAAATGTTTCCGGTCAAACAACACTGGCTTTGCAAAGCCTTAGGTGCTTTTCTCTATGCAATTTCTGGCAATGCATTGATTATTAACCCTTTGGATATTTGATAAACGCTTCAACAAGGCAGCTTAAACTGGAAGACGTGTTGAAGATTGGTTGATTGCTTTGTTGCGGGACGCTGGCTTGAACTCTTGCTTGTTTTTGCTGTCTAATTCTGTTTTTCTTGTTTTCTGTTGCTCTTTGGGGGTTTTTGACTCATGTTCATGGATTTGCAGTCAGAGCGAGTCCTTTCTCATAGCTCCCCATCGGGGTGAAAGAGCCCCCCTCCTGCAGGGACCTTGATGTGCTGTGTGGTTGTATGTGCGGTGTGTGCCGCCTGTGTGCTGATATATTATGCCCCCTCAGGTTGTTATGATTGCTGTATCCGCTGCATTGGGGCAGTGCCCTACCCATCCCTGGTGGCCACCTTGCTGTGCTACGCCGGCACTGCCTTGTTTTGTGGCTGTGGGCACGAGGCGTTGGCCCAGACGGAGGTGCTCGTCAAGACTCACTTTGCCCGTGAACCTAAGGACTATGAGGTTATGGCATCTTTGTGAGTTATGCTTGAATGCGTTCATTTATGTTCTCACATGTTGCTTGATTTTTATTTTATTTATTTTTTATATTTGTATATGCTCAACTGAATTTCTCTTACTTTTCCAGTATCAAATACTTCCAGTTCGTGATCTATGGTCTGGCATCATTTTTCTTCCTCTATGGTATCCTGTTGTTGGCTGAGGGTTTCTATGCCACAAGTGCAGTCAAGCAAACATTTGGGGAGTTCAGGAGCACCCAGTGTGGCCGCTGCCTCAGCCTGACGGTGAGTTGGGGTGTGTATGTGTTTGGGGAGGGGGTATGACGTCAGCTTATTGTTGACACACTGAATACCGATTTGTGTTAAGGAAACCATATTTGTTTCAGTTTCCAACTCTGAACCATTAATTATTGCTGATAACAGAAAACACATTTTTCAAGCTGACACCTGAAGGCTACTGATCTGTAACACTCTTGTTTCAACAGTTTGTAATAGTCACGTACATCTTGGCCTTCATCTGGCTGGCGGTGTTTGCTTTCTCTGCTATACCGGTTTTCTTTCTCTTCAACATGGAGCACACCTGTCACACCATCAACATCCAGGCTGAATCCTCTCCCGTTAGTCTGCAAAACTGGATCTGCATAGATGCAAGGCAGTTTGGTGGGTTGCTTTACAATGAATGACTGCACGTCCCTCAGATGAGCATGTTAATGTCTCCTAGGGAGCAGGGGGATTAATCTGTGAGGCGTGGCCACGTGACTGATAGTTGAATCTGCTGTGAGAGATTGAGATAATTCTTCATTGCTATGTCTCTGATGTGTTGCTTGTAAAGCAGAATCTCTATGCATCACAGGCCTGTCATGATTAAGCGTTACCAGGAGATCTCTCTCTTACGTCATGATTTCACCTCAGGTCTGCTTCCTTGGGATGTGATGCCGGGAAAGTCCTGTGGAATGACCTTGGCAGCTATTTGCAAAACCAGTGAGGTGAGCTGTTGTTTGGGAATTAGTTTTTATATTTGTTTGAGTGTTTCACGTTTTGCTTGAATTTCGGTGGAAGCCTTTTTAGTTAAAGGAAGATGATAACACAGATTGGTAAATTATTTTTTTGTATTATTAACTGAACCAATAAATAATTTCCTTTTGCTTACAGTTCCACAGCACCTATGACTTGTACATAGCAACATTTGCAGGGGCAGGAGTCAATCTGTTGGCACTGGTAAGGTTCCCTTTTATTACTGTATGGTTTTATTTGGAGTCGGGTGTTGTTCACCATTGAGAACTCACCTTATTTGTAATGGATTGTTCTCTCAGCATCCTTATTTTAATAAATTAGAATGCCATTTTCCAGCGAATGTTAGTTAAACTTAGGCAGAGACAAAAGCTCCTGTCATCTTAAATAAAAAAAAAATGTGATTAATTTTATTCAGAATTGAAAGTTTGTTTTTTTTTTTTCAGGATTTTTCCATGTTTTCTTTTGTTGGTCGGAAGAAAGAGTTTCTTCTATTTTCTTCCAAAAGAAATTTGGAAAGTCAAATTTACTGAAAAGTTTTGTTTTATTTTGGTGAATATTTTGCTTTAAGCAGGCTCAGATCCAGTAAAGTAGGTTTGGGAGCAGGAATAGCAGAAGAAAAATAAAAGAAAAAGCCAGCTGGTGCAGTAAACAGATGTGACCAATAGTTATTCCTTAATCTAGATTTGTATTTAATAAATTTGATAAATTCTTAAATAATCTGTTTCACTATGTGTATTCTCATAAAGATTTCTCCTTATGTAGTCTAGTGGATATAATGAGTTGACTTTTCAATGAAACTATCCCAGTTCTCCAAAATATGATGTATTACCAGGACTTTCCTCCAGTCTCTTCTGCAAGAACTGGAGAAAACAGAAGAACTGGAAAAAAAAAACTTTACTCCACTAGTCAGGAAGAAACCTGTTTCTTCAGAAAGAAACTCAGCCCTGTGTTTATTGCTAATGATGCCTTGTTTCTTGCCAACACAGGTTCATAAAACCTCTACACTCATTTACATGCTTGCAATTCAGAATAATCAACACACAAACATTGTAGTTTTTGGTCTGCACCAGTATCTGCTAAAGCAGAACTTGATCTCTGTAACCAGTTTACTAACATGCAGAAGAAGTAAGCTAAGCTGTAGGGCAGCATAAATCATTTGAAATGCTGTAACATTCATGCTTTTACCTATCTTTATTTTTATGAGATTGATGATCTGTTTGCTACACACATACGACTTACTTTGTTTTACCAGGGAAGCTGTGTACCACCATGATTTTGATATAGACTTCTATAAATGTAAATGAAAGGTTGGATCTTTCTTCCAACTAATCAGGAATAAGATTTAGGAGGAAACCAGTAACTCCTGTCTTTAAAACCCCAGCAGTTAACCAATTTGTCCCCCAGCAGTTAACTAGTTTTCATGTTGGAATTTTTAGAGTTCGACAGAATATGCACTTATAAAAACAATACTTGATTTTTGCTATTTAATAGACATATTAATTATACACTGTCCCCTTAATTCCAGTCAGTGCATAACTTGCCCATATAATTTGACTTTATATAATTCATATAAATCTCTAATGATATAAAGAAGACCAAATCTAAGTTTTTACGAATAAGATAAAGGTTTTATCTCAGCCCTAGATGTTTTCTAAAATCTCAGTTTGTTTGAAAACTATTCCAGTTCATGTTTCATTAGTTCAGGTATTTAAGATCTTGAACTAGAGTTAATGGATATTATGGAAAAGATTTGCACCTTTTACTGATAATTATGCATGAGTGAAGCCACACTTTTGCAGAGTGTGTAACGTTGTTGATTAAATATTCTGATTGATTGAGGAAAATGTGATTTATAACTTTTTTTGCATATTTATACAATACAATGAACTGTAATTATTTCTAAGGCTGCACCATTTTTTTACTATTTCTATAAACCTTCATGTAGTTAACATCAGCATACCTAAGGACTACAGCTGGAAATTAGCATAGCTTGCCATAACGCATCATAATGCATCTTTCTGTTAGAATAAAATAAATTTTTACATATTCCCTGTGAAATTAAAATAATATTGTCTTCAGTGCAAACTCATTACATATTGAAATATGCTCATTTGATGACGATAGCTGATGTTAATTTCAGCAGCTAACTGTTAGTATGCAATAAAAGTATCACTGACTTTACTGGAGAATTTTAATGTATTATACAGATCATCAAGTTTAAATGTATATAAATAAATATAAAAAGTTAATGTATCTCAGACCTGGTTCAGTATAAAAGAGTCATTTACTTTGCAGCAACAAGGCTGTGGGTTTTCTGCATACAGTCAGCATGTTCTCCACATTCATGTGTTAATCAGGTACTCATGCTTCCTCCTGCAGAAAGTTCATTAACTACCTTGTTCTTTGCCACTGGGAGATTTTTAAAGCAGGAGTTGTTTTTAATATGACTTAGCTTGACTATGTCCTTAGCTCTGTGGCTAGCGGTAAGTCAGTGAAAAAATTATCCAGTTTTCCTTTTCCTTTAGCAGACTATCTAAAATAAAACAAAATAAAAACTATTAAACCTGACTATTCCTGCAGGCTAGTGGTGCTTCTAGACCAAATTTACTAGTGGGGTTAAGGTGGGTCCAGTTTTTATTTTTGCCATGGCGACACAGAACAAACGGATGAAAAAAACAAAACACGGTGATAGCTTATCGTTTAAAATATCATGGGAGCCACCGAACCAAATATCCATTTGCAGTCCTGCAGCTGCATGTTGCAGCTCCTGATCTAGTAGATAGAAACACATCCCATCATATCTTTCAATATAGCTGAAGCTAATGTGCAATGCTTTAATATTTTGATTATTATTAGTGAAACTGTTTGATTATTAAAAGTGAAAACTGTAAGGTAAAGTCAACACTCAAAAAAGAAAGTGCTGCTTCATCTTAAATAATAGCTAATTGAATCTAATAATTAAGTTTATATTTTAAAAACAATTAAATTAATATGGGTAAACTTAACTCAATTCCTTGTTAACAACTGAAGCAATTCATTTAAGTTGGAACGGCATTTTCTTTTAGGTGAAATTTATTGAAGGGATGAATCAGCTATGGTTTCTGGGCCAGTGCATATCTTATACAATGATCATAGTATTATGTATTCAGGACAGGGGGCATAACCGAGGCCAGAGCCAATTCTTCAGAGCCACTGGTCTCTGGTGGCCTCAGCATTGAACCATCCATGCTGCAGAAATCAGCAAAGATACCCAGATCAGTTTCCCAAATCATGGGTAGAAATCATTGATGCATTCTGTTTTTTTTTACCACCTGTAACCAAAGGCTGCAGTTAATGTTTTTATCAAGTTCTTTCAGTTTCTCGTCAGTGAATGGCAAACATACCATCAGTATAAAATATTAACACACCCTCCCTTCCCTTGCCTGTCCTTTTTTGCAGATTCTGTATCTGGTGCCCACCACCTACAACTACGCAGTCTTGCGGTTCCTTGGCAGAAAAGGAATTCGCTAAGTGCTGCACAGTTCACTTTGAGATGCCTGTGTGACTCCACATTTCATCTCTACCCCTTGAAGCAGAATCTTTCAAACCTGGATTCTCTGCCATCCTTTTTTTTTTTTTTCAGATAACAGACAAACATTTTTCTTCTCTGTTATATTTGAACAACAGGCAGAGAGATGAAGATAATTCACCCGCAGTAATGAGCCCCAACCTGCTCCACAAGTCATCCTCTCAGATGATTCCCAATGCTTTGTTGTTCATTTTCTCTCTTTTAAATCACTCTGTGAGGCTTTGCTGGAGCTGATTGTGATGTAGGAGGTTTCATGAATAATTAAGAGCAATGACAGCTTTGCTTTGCAATTCATAACTGTGTTCGTCCTTCTCAGTGTTTACTGGTGCAGATATTGGTTTTGAATATGATTTTTTTTTTTTGCTGCTGCTGCTGCTGCTGCTGCCTTATTATCCGCACCTCGCCAGGAGCATCATGAGTCTAAAGCTAGCAAAGCTGAATGTAAGTTTATCTTGGAACTTGTCACTTCTGAATAAATCAGCTGTGCATTTCTTTCTCTTTCTGTTAAACATGAGAGACAGTCTTCATGTCTACTTAAATAAGAAAAAGAGAAGTCTGTATTTAAATAACTGTGCAGCGGCTGACAAATGTTGCATGTGCTTATTTGTAATTAAAGCTAATTGAACGATTTGATCTAAGGGACTTAATTGTAATTTGATTTTAATCATATACTGTAAGTGGCAATAAAATAATTTTTGCTGAACGTGGAGCATTTCATTCAAACATTTGTGGTAATTAGCACTGACAGTGTTTTTAATTACACCATTTTTAAACATCATATAAACCAAATCTTTCTTTGAAGTGGAAAAAAAAAACATAAATCAGAAAAGCAACGTTCAGAGCAGGAGCTTATAATTGGAAGATATTTTGTAGGGTACATTATTCACCGTAACCTGTGAGACATACAGTGTTTGTCCCCAGCTGAATTCAAATATTAAGCACCCTAGAAAAGCAGTCATTACAGTGGATCACTTTGTCATGCAGGAAGATACGGCTATTCAGGTCTCCAATCGCCTTTTCACAAACGCCACACTGCAAAACACAAATATATTATTAGAATTAACCATTAAGAGTCACAATTTTCTGCACAGTGTTTGAATACAGTATTAGTATCAGGTGTTCTTTTTCACATTTTGTCACAATCTTAATGTAATTATTTAGGATCTTATGTGTCAGACCCACACAAAGTAGTGCAGTATTCATCTTCTTTCATTTGATACCACTAGTTAAGATCCAGTCCCTTCAAGGCACGGAAGGCAAGTTTATTTCTATAGAATATTCAGAGGCAAAAATCAAGTTGCTATAAATGAGAATCAGAATAAAGTACATTGTAATGGTATAAAGGCAACACAGAGAATACTGTTTGATAATTAAAATGAAATAAAAAATATTAAATTATTGATGAAGCAATGACAGAAAAATTAAACAACAAACTTAACTAATTATGTTTATATATATCACAGTCAAAAGTCACTCTGAACAAATATGTTTTTAATCTTGATTTAAAGCATTCAGAGTTTCAGAGCTTTTGCAGTTATCTGGGAGTTTATTCCACATTAGTGGAGCATAACAACTAAAAGCTGATTTTCCATGTTTGGTTCTGGTTTCTCCAGATCAAATTAGATCCAAAAGACTTGGTGTCCATTTTATGAAGCAGGTTTAACAAATTTAGATTCAAATCCACAACTCTAAATTGATCTGAACTCTGAGTTTGGTGTCACAACGGCTGCCATCAATCCGTTCAATCAATTTTAACTAGGTCCACTCAGAGTTAAGTGTGTGCACAGCAAGTATGAAAAGTCATTATCAGTGGAGCACAGGTTCGACGAGTCACCATGACAACAGGCAACAGGACATGCCTATTTCACCCCAATGGAACCAGAGATTTTAATGCAGCAATGTAAAAAAATAAAATAAAAAAGGAGAATGTATTGAAACCACGCTAAACCTACGCAGGAGAGGAAGATAGTTGCTCCAGGTGCTGCGTAAGTTTATATTAAGTGAGTTATGGAAGGCATTATTAATTAAAAGCAGTCCTCTCTGTTTTTCCATTTGTAGATCACTAACATAAGATTCTTCCTGATCAAAATCAAAGTCCTAGATCAAGCCATTATAATATATTTTCTAAATTACATTTTTGTTGCAGAAACTGAATTTTAGAAAGTAAAAAAAAAACAAAATTTTTCTAGTAAGAACTAAGTTTTATATATCTGGAAATGCTTACATAGATTAAATGGCCGTTCTGACATTTATCAGCTTGACTGAAAATGTATTTGTGATATCTGAAAAAAAAATCATAATTAAAATAATACTGACCAGTATAATGGTGATGATATAATGCTGACCAGTAATATTAGGAATATGGAGATCTGAAATTAATTTCTAGACATCCAGAATGCTTACTCTGTGGAGAATGTCATTTTGTTTGATAATTTGGAAAAAGAGAAAAGTTTTTTTTTCAGATATCAGGAATACATATTCAGTAAAACTAGTACATATCAAAACGGCTTGCCATACCCTGTTATGACTGCGATAATATTATGGGATTATTTCTTGACTGGTAGCAGATCAATATATATATTTAGGTGAAATCTTCTGGCAGCAGGTGAAAATTAAGTCTAAAAACGTTCTAATATATAAAACCTGTGGATCATCTCATGCATTCCTCCTGATGTTGATTCAGTCTTCAGCAGAGACAGAGGAAACTCCAAGTTTACTGAAGAAAACCTGCTACTGACCAGGTTAGCCTCGGAAAAAATATTACTATGACTGAAACAAAGGTTGAATAAATCTCTTTGTGAACCAGAAAAGTCAGTTTCCCTGTTTTCAAGTTTAGAAAACTTAAGATTTTCGGTAAACCTGCTTCAGTAAATGGAAAACCTCGGATCTCTGGCGTTTGATTCACTGACAGCTAATCTCAAATATATTTTGGAGCTAAGCTATTTAGTGATTTCTAGACTAACATGTATATTTTAAAGTCTATTCTCTACAGGGAGCCAGAGGATTTAGAACTGGCCTGATGTTCTCCAATTTCTTAGTTCAGGTTAGGATGCAGGCAGCAGCGTTCTGGATCTGCTGCAGCTGTCTTATCCACTTTTTAGGCAGACCTGTGAGAACACCGCTGCAGGGATCAATTCTACTAAAGATGAACAGGTAAGATTTAAACCAGTCCACTGCTGGACCAGAGAGGCCGAGTCAATTTTCCAGGCGCTCTAATGAAATGTAGTGAAAAACAATGTCAGATGCTGCACTAAGGCCCAACAATACTTTAGTAAGATCACCAGTTTAAGGGCTCTGATCAGTGAATTTGAAGATGAAACAAAGAGCCTACAAGGACTTGAAAGCAGCATGGTGATTAAAAACTAATCTTAATAACGAAAAAATCTCTACTGTTATAAGCTTCTGTTCTGGACCAGAACACAGACGGACACTCAGAAGCAGCAAGGTAAGTCTTTGCAGGATTTAATGAGATATAGAGGCAGAGGAACAACAAACAGGCACCGAGACATGAAGATGAACTGAGGGCCCAATGAATCCTGGCAGATGACTGAGACCTTAAGTAGAGGTGAAAACAGGCGCAAACGACAGAACAAATGAGGAAACACAGGTGCAGAGAATTGACTGATTAACAGAAGGCAGAAGGAGAAATGGTCCAACAGGGATAAATACTAGGAGAAATAAACTAAGAATGAATCCAGAAATCCAGGAATAATGACTAGAAAAAATAAAAAACAACTAAAAACAAAAAGAAGAAGCAAGAGAAATAGACTCCTAATAGCAAAAAAATAATTGATGATTTACACAAACACAGTAACCCAACAGTCTTCATTTAGAATAAATTGCTACTAGAGGGGTTATGGAAAGCCAAAAGTGCCACATTTTCAATAATCCTTTAGTAATAAGTGGAAATATTTCTAGTTGTAAATGTTAAAATCAAACAGGAAAGTCAGTCATGACAATTTGGATTTGTAATGTTGATCGATTACTCTATCGATCTATTGATAGATCGATCGACCCGGCTGTCGGTCGACTGGTTGATTGATTGATTGATCGATAGATCTTGTCCCGGGCCCAGCTGAGGCTGTCCGCTGGTCTGAAACCGAACCTTATTACAGGTTTAATGCAAAAATACAATGTCAAATTCTTAAAGTAAAATTTTGAGTGAACTAACATAAAAAGTAAATCAAAAGACTAACTACAATAAAAAAATAAAAAAAACAAATCTGCAGACTGCCACAGGGAGGTCAGAGTGGGGAACATAAGCAAAGTCACAGGCAGCACAAACAAGGATTGAAATTGACAAAGTAAACGAGGGATCAATTAGAGAGCAATGAGATGACAGGGGTTTATATACTGGGTCAGGAGAAATTGCAAAAAGAAACAATAAAGAGACAAGCTAATCAGATGGAAGTGGGAGCAGCTGTGGGAGGGCAACTGAAGGAAGGCGACTAATTAAAAAGAGCAGAAGCACAGGTACAAGAAACCCATGGGATGTGTCTAGAATAATGTGTATAACCCACAACTGACATTACAAGCACTCGATTCGCTCTCCCACTATCCAACGCCCAGGGGGTGCTCTGAGAAACATGCACAAGAAATGGGAAATCACTCAAAAAAAGATAAATAAATAAAGATAAATACTATAAATACTAGAACACCATAAGTAACTTTAATGATGTCTTTGCTTTGTAAAGGCTTTTGTTGACTATAAAGGGTGCTTAATTACTGCAGAGCTTGTTGTGTGGTGTGATGGAGCAAAGATACACCCTTTGTAAAACAAGATCCAGTGAAATATATTAGAAAAGAATTAGAACTTAATGCAATGAAAATAACACGATGAGCACAGACAAATGAGCTGCTATGCCCCAAAAAAATTAGGTATTGTTGAAAAACGGAGGACTAATAAACCACAACGTAATGCCTCAGGATTATGACCAAAGGCCAACTATGCTTTGGACCGGGAGTTAGACGTAAGTAGAGATGGTTCTGGGTCTATTCTGCACTCATCAATATGGAGTCAAGGAGGCATCATTCCACAGTCTCCAGCCTTGTTTTAATTACCCATACCTCTCCTTCAGTGTCCAGCAGTCTCCATAGAAACAGAGTACATGTGTGATAGAGGGTATTCTGGTTTGATTGCCAATGAATATTAAATCACGCTGAATGCACCATTGTGAAACATGGTGGTGGCAGTATCATGTTGTGGTAATGCTGTAGGGAATTAAGTCAGAGCCAGTGGCCAGAGTTATATTGCATTGTCTTGTATTGTATTGAATATTTTGTCTGAAAAGTCCAGTGAAAGTCATGACTTACTGTACACCCAATTGAGACTTTGTAAAGAGACTTAAAAAAAGAAAAAAAAAACTCTGCTTAAAGAACCTATCTGTCTGACCTGGAGCTAATTTGTAAAAGAATAAAACTTGTTTTAGATGTTCAAAACTAGAAAAGACCCCAAAAAGCCGGCAGCTGTTTATTATGGTTCTCCCCTTTGGACTTCTTTTTAATTTTCTTTTTGAATTTTCAATTATTTATGTCAATCTGTTTTTTGGTAATTGGTTTATTTTCTGTTTTGTGTCATTATATTTGTTTTATAGTTATATCTAAGTAGTGTTGTATTTTTTGTGTTGCTCTTTGTTGCCCCCTTGTTCCAGTCTCCTCTCAACTAGTTTCTAGTTTCTATCCACTCCTGCTCCCGGTTAGCTAATTACCTCAGTTTTGTTCTATCTCCCCTATATACACCACCTGTGCAGTTTTTGGTTTTCTGTGTATGTTTCTGTGTTGCCTTGGCATCTTCATTAAATCAGCAAAAACTCATCTCTCCCTCCTTCAATGCTACGTTTGGGTCCACAACCACATCCACCACCCTTTTGACAATTTTAAGCAAAAGCTAAACATTTAGCAAGAGCTGACAATATTTAGCTCACACTGACTACTTGGTGTAGAGGTCTATCACATAAAACACAAAATTCATCAGACGTTTGGTTATAAAAAGAACAAATAGAAATAATTACAAATGATATGAATATTTCTGAAAGGCAAGGTGTTTAAAAATGGAACATTTAAATTGAAATGCAATGCAAACCTTGAGGCATTCTGGATGGCATGCCATAGGCGGATAATTAAAATAAAGCTTGATACACCCATCGATGACGTTGAGGCAGTAGGAGCAGATGGATTTTTCATCCCTGAAACAGATTTGAAAACATTACCTCTACAGTAACACATTCACGGCCTGATCTTCAAAGATTGTGACTGATCTCTCCCCAATTATCCGCCTTGTCTATAAATTATTGCCCTCTTAAGCCTATAGGGCCATAGGTTAGCTAGGAATTGTTTGCGTGTACGTTACAATACACAAAGCGATTTGGTTTCACCCAAATGAAATGAGCAGACTGTGTGTTATACTGACAGTTACAGATTGGCCTTAAAAGAGAGGTGAGTCATTGGGGCAGCAGTGTCAACATAGATTCCAGACTCCCCTCTTCACAGACATCTCCTCAGCTCCTCTAGGGCAGCCATTCTCAACAATGGGATCCTAACCCCCCTTGGGGTCACAAGATGAATTCTGGGGGTAGCCAAATAGTTTTAGAAAAATATAAATGGGCAAAATGAATGTAACTTCTGACCAGACATTAGACAGATGGAAGGCGGCTGGTCTCAAACAGGCATTTTATGACTTAAAACCAGCTGTCCAGCTACTCGTGGACAGCGGTGCATGTTAAATTGGGGGTTGTGGCTTGAAAATGTTGAGAGCCACTACTATAGGGGAAGCCAGAAGCATTCCTGGGCCAACTGTAAGACATAGTCCCTCCAGCTTGTCCTGGATAATTCCCTGGCCTTCCTACCAGTGGAGATATTCGAAAAAGACGTCGGAGTCACCTTCCAGCCTCTTCTCCCTCTCCTCACCCGTTCACTAAAGCCGGGCACACACTCTACGAGTTTTTGCCCGTTTTTGGGCCGAATTTCCTGTTGTGTGAGTATTTTTTGTTCCGGCCAAGTTTCAGCCTCATTGAGCGTCCTGCGTAGTGTAGTATACAGGGAGTAACGAGGGGCTATTAGCCTCTCACAACCACCTCCCAATCATGAATCGTAAGGGCGGGAGAAAATCAACGTGTGAAAGTTAGTTGGCCCTCGTGAGGTGTTTGTGGGCAAATTCTGCTGTTGAAGCAGAGCTACAAGCCGATTAACCTGAAACTCTTGGAGTTCTTCTTCTTCCAGATTGACAAGTCCGAGCAGTGCCATCTCTCGGCACTGACTCTGATGTGGGGTTTTTGGATGTACAGTGGAAGCTAGTAGATTGCATTAGAGTATTGGGTCATCCAGCTACAGTTATTTGTCGGACACTCATTTAAAATGGCGTAACCACCATATAGTGCCCTATATAGTGATTAGGGCAGACCTTTGGACACAAAGGTTTACATTCAGAAGATCTCTATGGTCTGTAACATCGACCACAGAAAATTTTGTGAGTTTCCACGCAACTTTTAAAATTTTTAAAAAAGACATAAAACTGATGCCTCAGTTAGGTGTCAGCCTTGAAAAATAGCTTTGCACATTCTAAATATTTTCACTTGTGTATCCTCTGCCCCAAAATCTGTGCAGTTATCAGATTAAAATTCAATCCGCATATTGATGAAGACACACATGCAAACAATCTTTGAAGATCTGCTCTGCACCTGAAGACAACTTTGCACCTATTTTGATTCATGCAAACCTTCTAAAAATCAGGCCCATAATGTTAGTTATTGGTCTGACTATAGTCATTATATTCCCATGGGAAATGATGACAGGGTGTTATACGAGATACTGAAAACATACCTGGGTGTTTTAGGGGCTTTGGTTGAATTTGGCTCTTCTTCGGGTTTTTGAATCCCATTGGAACTATAAAAAACAACAAAATGATCAAAATATATTACACCTTTCATTAAATTGTGAATTTATTGTTTATGAAAGCATTCTTACTCTTTGGTATCATCACGCTGCTCATACAGCTCCTCCTGATTAAGTCCTTTTGACTCTTCAGGTTCAGGAACAGATGCATTCTGAGGTACTTTCACATCCAGTGCATCTGTCAGATCAATGGCTTTAAAATCAGAAGCATCCAGAACAGCTCCATCATCTCCAGGGGGTATTGCTTTATGAACATCTTCAATGTTAAGGTCCACCTGTTCATTTTCCAGTGAGGGCTCATCATGTCGTTCAACAGCAGTGCTGTTAACCGGTTGGATTTCGGCCTCAACAGCCTCCTCCGTTCTGCTTTTTAAGACTGGCTCCTCTATGGCTTCCTGATCAACTTCACACTTCACAGCTACAACAACATCCTCAGCATCAGCATGTGACTCGGACGGAGTATTGGTGCCTGGTTGCATGCTGTTATGTGGAGGTGCCTCCTCACTGGGTGTTGCATTATCAACTTTGGGGGTTGCCATCACATTCTCAACCTCAGCTTCTTTATTATCTTGTTCTTGGGGTTGTTTTTCACAACTGCCCTCTGCAGGTGTTTCATTGTCAAACTGACTTAGGGACTTGCTGGCAGTTTCAAACTGTATGTCGGATTCCTTGGTGGCTTGAGGAGAAATGTCTTCATCAGGTGCTGCAGAGTTCTCAGCCATCTCCTGCACTGTAAACTGAGAGACAGCAGGGAGGATTTCTCCATTTCTCTCCTGTTGCAGGGATTTCTCTGCACTACCGTCTTTAGTTAGCACCGATTCTTCCTCCCCTGCATCCCCCAAACTACGTGTATTTGCTGGCTCTGCTCTGATTAAAGCTTCCTCCTGAGGTTTCGGTATGAACAGGGGTGTAGCAGGAACCTCTTCAGTGTCTGTGACACTAGCTGGCTCCTGAAGATCACTGAAAAGCTGCTCTGCTACTTTTTTAGGCTCAGTATCAGCGGTTTTTCCTTCGACTTCTGCAGGTTTATCTGCTGCATCAACATTTTCGGTTGCTGAAGGAGCTGGTTGGATTTCTTGTTCCTTATCGACATCTGCTGGGACCTTAACAGGCACCATGTTGTCTTCCATATTGGACTTGTCAGCTGGTGCTTCTACTCCCACCTCCTTTTTTTGTCCATTTGTGTTTATAACTGGCATTTGCTTTTGTGGCTCTGGCTTATTAACCAGTTTTTCTGCTGGTGATGTGGTTCTGTAACATAGCATGATAATTATTCACAGCTTTAAACTCATTATTAACAATAAAGAGGGAGTTTCTTCTATACTAACGTTGTATCTCTTGCAGTATTTCCTCTTCTTTCCTCGAGCGGTGCATCATATTTACCAGGATTGATTTCATTGTTAGTCTCAATAGGTGAACCCCTACAACAAACAGGTGAAAGACAGCTTTTCAGTTACATTCATCTGACCACATCAATACTTAATTAAACTATACGTTGGCTGAGAAACCAGCAAACCTTATAGCCTCTGTTTAGGGTAATTAGATATTTAGACAAGGCACCTAAAGATAGGAGCTAGTTAGAAAATAGAGAAGATGAAGAGTTATTGTCTCCTCTTTCAGCATGAGACCCCAAAAATAATCATGCAACAAACAAAATATATATACTGTAAATACTTACAAATGTATGAATATATTGTGAAGTAATTATATTCATTATTAATTATTATACAACCATTTATGGGTGCTAAATGTGCAAAATTGTAGAACAATTTTTACTGTGACATTTCTACATTTTAGCATATGCTTATTACCTTTAGTGCCTTTTTGGAACATTTAATGGCAAACTCTAAATATAAATGTTAACTCTATTTCAATGTTGTAGCCTATATTTATATCTAAATTTTAGATCTATATATAAATCTATGGCTTACATGTAAAAGTTAAATCTAAATACATATCTTTAAACTTAAGCCTTAAAGTTAAAACTAAAGTAAAATATATCTACATTTTTTTCCCATCTATCTATCTATCTATCTATCTATCTATCTATCTATCTATCTATCTATCTATCTATCTATCTATCTATCTATCTATCTATCTATCTATCGTATATATATATAGTTTTAATGTTATTACCCTGTAACAGACTGGCAACCTTTCCAGCCTTACATTTAATATTTAGATTTAGGTTTTCAAAAATATTTAAACTTTACCGCCTATTTAAAAAAAGCATGAAATGTAAACAAAGTTCACTTAAACACACTTTATATGCTTATGATTAATTTATAAATAAAGTGACTCGAAAAATATTTTTTGATAAAATGAACATCAAAATATCATTAATCTTGTATAAATCATTACCATGAAAAAAATTATATAGACACACAAGTCTTGGGGCTCGATTAACCCACAGAAAAGAAAGGACTGAGAATAAACTGTTTGGAGTACAAAGATAAGATTGATATTTCATTGTTTATTTAATTTAATCATGTCCGTTTTTTTATTTAATTTAATTTAATTTTTTTTATTTTACAATTTGATGTATTGTTTTCATTCATCAAGGCTGTTTGATTTGTTTGTTGTTGTTTTTAAATCACAGGTTTTTTGCACATTGATGTAGCATGTGGGAACCAGAAATTATTATCATTGTGATACCTCTACAGGAAATAAACTGAATACGAATCTATTTTATTATATTTAACAAACTAGGAAACAAAAATAGGAGGCTGCCAGAGTTGCAATATGTTTATAGTAGGTGTGTGAATATTGTTTTAATGATGTTGTTTGCAGCAATAGATATTATTAGTGGAAATAGGGGGGCTCAAAATCAGATTTTGCTTAGGGCCCTGTGGAGACTTGGACTGGCCCTGTGTCTATTAGGCATTCACGATTTGCTGTGTTTTGTAATGGTGGCTTGTTAGAGTGGTTATATTGTGCACCTGAGAACAAAATCGAAACCAGGTAGACATTTTTTAAACTTTTTTTTTTTAAATAGTCCTTCATGAACGAAGATGCTTAAAAATAGATAGTAATAGTCTGTTAAAAAGATGCATTAAACCATTAGGTTTTCCATTTTATCTAAAAGCAATAATTTTTTTTTTCTCTTACTCTCCATATTAATAGTGCTTGCTTCCTCTTACCTGAAGATAAATCAAAAGAAAAAAAGAAAAAGGAAATGCTGCATGGTGACTTTCATAAACAACACAACGCTTAACATACTGGTGATTTCAGAAACATAATCTAGTCTCTTTACAATATATTAAACAAAAAAATAACAATCCTTTGTGTAAAGATGTGCAGAAGGTTTGCTTTGAGGGAGCAGCCCAATGTGCACGTGTACCTCATAACTAATAAACTGTGCTTTAGATGCCAGTGCTGTGTTTGTTTGCACCATAGGTCTCACAGGACGTGTTGTTGTTAAACAGGTGAGGGGGGCTGGTTAAATGAGATGACTGTCATGCATACATTCAGCAGTGATTCACCCATTAAAAAACATAGTGTGTCATAAAGTCACAGGAGCTAAAGGCAAACTTTTATAACTGTTTATATCAAAAGAAAAAGTGTCTCTTTTTGTGTTTCTTTTCAACAATAAAATTAGACATGCAAACTAGTGCTACAGTATATCAGAGAATCTTGTAATTGTTATGATTGTTAATGTTATGATGATGATATCAGTAGCTATACATGCCTATTTTCTTTCTTTTTTTTCGCACTTAAATCACAATGTGTTCTTTAGTATTTCATGTGATGTTATTTTTGTCCACTGTGAGCATTTCCTGCAGTGAGTTTCTATGCAGCTGAATTAAATGTTAAATTAGTATGAAGAATACAAGCTCAAAGCGCTTAGAATATATTAGCCAACAATTATTCCTCCTCTGATAGTCCTTAGCGATATGAATATTCAAAAATCTAATATTGTTGTGATAACATATTCACAATATGTTGTATAGCCCAAATGCAAACATTATAAATCAATATAATGAACTCTCTATGGAGCATATCAAATGGCCAACAAACTAAATTAACCATTTACATCAAATAGATATTTATTAAAACTTAAGCAACTACACACTGATCACATTTCAATTTAACAATTTTCATTAGAAATTTTCTATTGGATGTTAAGACATGAATGTTTTTTATAGAAACACTACGGAAAAGGATTAGGGTCCGTGAAAAATTTTAAAAAGTGATTTTTAAATTTAATTTCAGGATAATATAAGAAAAATCTCTGAATTCTGACTTTAATCTCAGAATTATGAACTTTTTCTCAGAATTCTGACAGCTCACAAACATGTTAGCATCAAGCCATAACCATGTCTGTTTTAGAGACTAAACTAGCTCTCTTGTTTTAATCACCTTCTGCTCTTCCATTAATGAAATAGCATCACCAGGGACCCCTCGGCCACGTAAAAAGTCGACTAATTGCGTCATTTTCCACCAATGTGTTACTGTTCCTCCCAAACAACTCACATCTTTGTCAGTGAAGCTGGAGGCTCACACATCTCTTCCTTCATGGTGACCATCTACATTAAGATCCAAAATTCTGAGAAAAAAGTCAGAATTCTGAGATTAAAGTCAGAATTCTGACTTTTTTCCCATATTAAACTGAAATAATATTTAAAAATCATGAATTTTTTTTTCAATGGTCCTAATCCTCTTCCGTACAATACTGCACAAAACCATTGAAACTGAAAAATGAATAAAATAATCTCCCTTTCATATTTACGGAATAGTATTGCTGTCACTTGAAAAAAAAATATTTTTTGCTAATTATATTGTATTAACGTGATAAATAGATTGATAAAAGTGATAAATAGATTGTATAAATGTTTAACTAGATCACCTCAACACATGTTGTTTTAATTTCTATCCGTAATTTAGCACAAAATGTATTTTGAAAATATTTCCCAGCCTTTTTATTAAAATAAACGCTTTCGACGCTTATTTTGGTAACTATCGCTGTCGTGCTTTTGTTTTGAAGTGAATTCCACATTACTTCCGGTTGTGCTACAGTAGCAGTTACATGCTAAGCAGGGAGAGCAGAGAAGTACTCCTGCTACATCATGTATGTTATCTTGTTTCTGGAGATCGGAGCTGAAGTAGTCACTGACAGTTGATGAGAGTTTAGTTTCTATTATGTTGTCATCTTTAAAACTACATGGGAAACCTTCAGACTGCACAGCATCGCGCTTCACAAACAGCAGGATTCACGTTTCATCACAGCGACACCATAACAGGACAGCTTATCTTCATATAGGAATATTACAAGGATCTTTACTGACACGTAAGTACGCTACTGGTGATTCAAAATCGTACATTAAAACATGAACAGAGCATAATTTTAGTGGTTGGTCGTCATTCTTTGGCGTCTCATCATTGAAGGGTGCGTTCAAGGGCTTTTCGTACTTGGGAAATCATTTTGATTCGATTCTACACAGTGCAGATTTTTCCTAACGAAACAAATAATGCAAGAGAAATACATTTGAAAATTAATTTAAAGCTTAAAAACCACCGTCCCTGCCTAAAACCCGATTAGAAGTTGTGAGATGTATGTTTTCCGACAGACCGTGAAGTATACTTGCTCAGTCTAAAAGACGCTGATCCTTTTTGTTCTAAATTATCAATAATAATGCAAGGACTGGCATTACAATGAAGTATGAACTGTTAATAAAACATCTCAATAAAGGACGGGAGGAATTAAGGTAAAAAAATAAAAAGTACAATAAGAGAAAGAAGAACGTTATTACAATAAAAAACCATTATTTATAGTGAGATTTGTATAGAACTCGTGGTGTAAAATTACAATTTACACATTCCTTATATTATACATTACAGAAAGATTGATTAAAAATACCAGTTGAAGAACATGTAATGTTTTATTTGATTTGTTAAGGTCCAGATTGAGAATTGTTATTATTGTGTCATTTATATCAATTAAAAGAAGAGACAAAAAGCAATATTAGCATAAAGAATGGTTCCCAAAAACTAGACGCACATATCAGGGATCAGTTAGACTGATGTCAAAATAATAGGCGTCAGTATTGGTCTTTTTAAGAAATAAAAATATCATTTGGTCCCTCTTATATAAATATATCTGCATTGAGAGTTGCAGTATCTATAGAAAAGCTCATAGAACCAAGAAACAGAGAGAATAATAATAAAATTCACAGTAGCAGAATGACTCTAGGTACAGAATAAATGCTGTAAGTGGTTAAGAATAAAACTCCTACAATCTACAATGTTTTATGTCTAAAGAATTTTGAAATAATAATTTAGTTCATTATAAATTGAGTGTGCTTGTCTTAGTTTATCATTCCAAATGTTATATCAGAGGGGGATGCTGAGAAGAACAACGAGAGACTTCACGTGCCTAAGATATGAGGAGGGCTCAGGTCAAACTTTTGCCATCTTCAGGAAAACAAAGTCCTGATTGAGAATAAGAATAAAGATCAAGGATTCTGTGGAAAATTAGCGAGGCCAGCCCGACTGTTATGACATATACACGGCGTATTATTCTGGTAAAGAGGTGGTACAGCTTGATATCAAAGGCGGGACTAAGATGGTTGGCGCCGTCAGATTAAAACCAATCAGATAACTACATATATGACGCAAAAACTTCAAGCGATGTGCTCTGTCGCAGCCTTCTGTTCCAACAAAAGAAAAAATACCAACATTTCCAACGAAGGCCGTGGGTGGTAACAGGTTATTTTTGTTTTTGCATGCACTTCCAGCTTGACTTATTGTAAAAGCAAAAAAATAAATAAACAATTACTAAAAATGTCTTGGAACTTAGTAAAAAAAGAAATTTTATGTTTTAAGCTCCCAAAAAAGTGGTCAAAAAATCTTTTTTTTTTAAACACTCTCCTCCAACACCTGGTGTGCTCTTAATCACTCAAATTAATGGGAGGGTTTAACAATTAACAACTTACTCCAAACAATTCCAAATATAAAACATAAATAACAAATTTTGGTTCTAAATTAACTTAAATATATTTTACATACCAAAAGACAAAAACAAAATTGGTAGAAATAAGACATTTCAAAAATGTTGCATAAATGGACACAACTGCTGGATTATGGGTAATTATGGCGCTGAAAGTCATGCATTGTAAAGTCCCGCCTCCTGTGCTTTGTTTGGTTGGGCCTGTTCTAGCCATCAACAGTGTTTTACCAGACTGGATTGATGGTGCTCTGTGGAACTCAGCCTGGCCGTGCTAGTAGATAAAAAGTAGGGACTCCTAACTTCATGACATTCTTTTAGACTTGTCATTAAAGAATAACTCCCCTTACTGCGCAGTATCAACGCCACCAATGCCACTCGACTTTAACGTGAAGTCGCCAAATTTGCCGTAAACACAGTGAAAAGGAAGTAGATTTTACTTTAATCGCTTTTAAAATATACTATAGGGGTCTAAAAGCCCCCAAATGTAACCACGAAATCACCAAGCTGACAACACTGGAGAGTTTTCCTTCACTGCAGAGCAGAGCAGCTGTAGCACCACTTGGCTTCAAACACTAACCTGCTTCACATCAAGACAGGCAGGAGCCAGCTCAGTTGGTTTTTCAAAATAAAGTAAATTTGAACATTTCGTGATTTTTAAAATCTGATTAGAATTAGAATAATTAGTGCAAATATTCAGTATACTATATTACATGGTTTTAGGATTTTATTTAATTAATTCTAAAGATGTGGGGGCTTTTATTTCATTGTGGTGGTCATAGAACCTGAAAGCCTGGACTGTCACTATTTATCCAAACCAAACACTCTGAATAAACAACATTTACTGACATCCAGTTTAATGACCCATTGAAACAGAATGAATACTTTAGACTAGATGATGTTAGAGGCACACTCTTTATTTTGTCTGGTTTTGATGTTTGATATATCTTCTCTCTTAATTATTCTGTTTTAACTTAACGTCTTTGCTTTTCTCCAATAGCTTTTAGGTCACAAAACTGACACAATACTAATGTTAGTTTGTTATACTAGAATGGACATATGACTTGTTTTTTTCCAGCTTTAATGCACCTACTATTTTTCATAAACTTTTGAAACGGATAAAAATCCTGATTTACTTTTATTTCCCATATAACAGAGTAATTTATTTATTTTTTGTGGCAGACCATAAGTGAACTGCCAATCAGTTCTCCTAAATTACATCACATCCCCTGCTAAGCCAATAGCGAAATGCTTTCTAGATGCATCATGGTGCAGTAACCCCTTTATGCCTGAAGAGGGCACCAAGCAGGTGGTTCTTGTGCATTACTTTGTTAGATAATGACCGGGACATTTAGACAGCATTGTAAGATTTTCTATTTACACAATTCAGCAAAAAAAAAAAGAAAAAAAGGTTGATTTAGGGGTGAGTCGTCCTTTAATTGTCTTTTCTTTTCCTGGAAAGGATGAATGAAAAAAGATGAGACATCAGTGTGTGAATCTATTTCTTGATAGAATTGTATATTTAGGAGGTTGTTTTAGTTAGATGGTCGAATTAGAAATGTTATTAAAAAAAAAAAAAACAACAAAATAGAAAAATATCTCCAGTTGATTATTTGATCTACTTTGTTTGCAGCAGTTGGTCACAAAAATAACGTATTCTAATTTTATATGGAGAATCTGTGGGAATAAGCAGAGTGTGACTCACTTAAAATATAAAAGGATGTTTCAGCACCAAGTAGTCGCTATGTTGGAGTCATCATAAAAAAAATGTTTGCATTATTTTTATGATTCTTACTTTATCATTTTCATAATTATTAAAATGGAATTTTGTTAATGTCATGATTATATGAAATATTTTTTTGTTTGTATTTTAATAATTATAATAATTAGAGCAGGACTGCAAGTATTTAACCATGAAAATCTAAAGTTCAATAACTAAATCCTTAAAATGTGAAATTTGAGCTGTATGTTTTATTTCACTTCTGACTTCTTTCTAAATGTACATTTGTGTTTTGTTTTTCTTCTCTCTCTGTTTTGTGATGTTTTGTTGTCATGTTTCAAATATAGAAGAAGATGCCGTCCAGAAACCATCTTGACAAAGTTGGCCGGAAGAAAAAGAAGAAGTGGACAGAGGAGGCCATGGAGCGCGCACTGATAGAGGTGAAGTCTGGGCGGTGCACAGTGAGGCAGGCTGCCAAGGAGTTTGGGGTCCCCAAGTCCTCGCTTGGAGACCGGGTGAGCGGACGGGTGACGCCGGGGAGTCGCAGCGGGCCGGCTCGGCTCATAACCTCAGCCGATGAGAAGCTGCTGGTGGAGTTCTCCTTACACATGTCCAAGCATGGATTCCCACTTACCAAGCAGCAGGTGGTGTCCTTCGCCTCGTCCATTTATAAGCGGCAGCACAGGAGGGTGGCGTTATCCAAACTGGGCCAGACATGGTGGCTCAATTTTAGAAAGCGGCAAGAAAAGAACATTACTATTCAGCCAGCAGACAATGTCGTGCGTGGGAGGACAATCTGCGTCAGGAAGGAAGCAGTGGATCAGTTCTTTCGTCTGTTGAGCACGGTCGTAGACACACATGGGCTCAGAGAATTTCCCCGCCGGATTTACAACTGCAGCGAAATGGGCTACCAGCTGGGCAGGAGGAAGGCCGCCGTCTCCAAAACCGCCAGCCTGGGCTACAAGCCAACGCCGAGTTCCAGGGACCACATCTCTGTCCTCGCTTGCTTTAATGCTGCAGGGGAGGACATTCCTCCATTTATTATTTACTCTAGGGCTTATCCAGGGGGGGTGTGCTACAAGACACAAGGCCCTCCCAATGCCCTGTACGGGTGGTCCGAATCCGGTTACATCAACTCTGAACTCTTTAAGAAATGGTTCCTCAAGCATTTTCTGTTTCAAGCGCCAAAGGAGCGTCCTCTGCTGCTGATTTTCGACGGCCACAAGTGGCCCGTGAGCCTGGAGGTGGTGGAGTCGGCCCGTAAGGAGGGCGTGGTCCTTCTGTGCCTGCCTCCTCATTGCTCCCACATCCTGCAGCCGCTGGACACCGGCCTCTTCGCCGTCCTGAAGCAGCGTTTCGCCCTGCTCACAGGAAACGGCGCTGCCGCCGAAGGCCATTTCGCCATCACCAAGAAGGAATTCTCTGGAGTGTTCAACAGAACGTATCAGCTAGCGACAAGCGAGGAAGGCGTCCGGATCGTACGGGAAGGTTTTAGAAAATGTGGCGTTTTCCCACTTAACCACTACGCAGTCAATGAGGTCCATTTGATGCCTTCACACGACGCCGGCCCTGCTGCCGGCGACTCCCTGTTAAAATCGGCTCCAGCAGCAGAGCTGACAGCAGCTGGACCCTCCTAGCTCGTTACCGATTCATCAAACTGCCTGTACCTTCGAGGTGAGTGGAGGTCGGTTCTCCTGAGGAATCCACGACTGGTCGCTTAATTCACCCAAACCCAATCAACTACTACCGGTGCCGCTTATTAAGATGCTGAAGGGGTTTACAGTCGTGCTTCCCCACAGGACGCTCCGTTTATCCGACTGCCAGAAGGAAAGAATGTGTTGATATTTAATTGGTTGCCAGCATTGCTTTCATTGCCAAGGTTTGAGTTTTATCCCCAAACAGCCCAGGTGAATCAGTAGAATATAGTGCTGGCCACATTTATTGGTGCTTCTTCTGAAAAATATCCATTCATCTTCAACTGCAAGAGATTTATTTAAACAAAGAGACTTTTTATTTTTATTTAAAAAGATTTACTTTAGTTTTTTTAAGAGCCGGTCGTAACCAGCTGAACATTTATTGGACCCTCTAACAAATCCTAAATTAGCTTTTATTATTATGAAATCGGCTGAGCAGAGTTATAAAATTGTGAAAGGCGTGAGAACGTCGTATTTCAGCACAGAGCTGCCATGTTGGTCTTTACAGGAAGACAAACGTTTTCAAGCCAGACAGTTGTTTAGCAAGGAATTCCTCAAATCTGAAGTTGAACTGGAGCTTGAGCTTAGGCCCACACGGTGGAGAATCTGTGGTGCTGTGGGTCTATTTGCTCTTACTATGTAAAGGCAGCCTTGTCATTGACTGTTGGTGTACTGGGAGATTTTCAATAAAAAGACAGCAGACTCTACCTGCTACCTGGTAATGAATCATTATGTGTGTTTAAACAGGATTTATCCCAAACCTAGATCCAAATGCAGGAATTTATCGCCATATTCTACATCTACCTTTTTACTATGGAGAGAAATCTGATCCAATATTATTGAAAGCAAAGAACATGTTTCAAAAAGGACAATTTGAGGAAAAAGTGTTTTCAAAATGGAACCTTGTGAAAGTTTGCTAGGTTTGCTTTTATTTCATACTTTCTTTTTTTTCTTCTTCTTTCTGGGGGGGTTAATTATTTTTTTCTTATTCTTTTCAAATCTAGATTTCCTCTCTACATTTCCGGCTGGTCCATGTCTAGACCAACAGAAATGCTGTTGCTAATGCTTATGCAGAGCAGACTGATTTCTATTGGTTCGTAAAACTGTTATGTTCTTTGCTTTCAATAATACTGGAACAAATTTCTCTCCATATTTCTCCTCCTAGAACTAAATCTACAGAATCTGTGAGCTGAGTTGGAGGAAAGATATACGGTCCTACTCGTAAACAGTGGAGGGAGAAAAAAAAAGCTAATTTTTTTTTTTGGTTAGGGAAAAAAAATATTCTAACATGTTTACTATTTTCCAGTAAATATAACAAGTTAAGGGTTTTATTTCTTCCCGTTTATGAAGCAGAGAGCTGCTTCATGTCTACGGAGTCATACGAAGGGCTACCAACACTGACCTCTGAGGGGAAGAGTCAGCGTTCATCTATTAACTTCATGTATAATAAATATATTTCTAACATTTCTTTTAGACATTGCACTTTTTAAACATCTATAAATGCAAGAAAAATGAAAGAAAAGCAAGTTTTAGATGCAGCTCACTGATGAGTCGTTCCATTTCTAGAAAAGGTTTGAGGGCCCCTCATGTGGCCCTCTGGCACCACGTTGGTGACCCCTGCTCTACGCGTTTCACTGGGAGGTTGTTATATAACAAAAACTGAATTTATTTCAAGCCTTTTTATTCATCTGAACGAGAGATTAATATTTTTCCTGTTTGATTATTGTTGATTAAAAAATGGACACTCAGTTTACATTCAACACACAGAGCTTCTAAAAAAAGAAAAAAAGAGCAGTAACTCAACTCCCTGCTGGTTGATGTTACAACTGGCTTAACTAATGTTATACAGGCGATTGTTTAGCGACTGAAAGTCTGCAGTGGCTGCAGCCTCGCTGACAGATGTGCCATCCCACGTCTGCGGCCGTAATTACAGAGGCAGACTCTTCATCACTCTGTGGGCGGGCTGGTCAGCCAGATCTTCAAGTTTCCTCTCAGAAAACATTACAGGCTTGAGCTGCCTGTTCTGACAAAGTGACACATGATGGTGTATGATATCCAGCTCATCCTTTACTTGTCACTAGAGGCAGAGCAGAATTCACCGAAGGCCTGAGTTATTAAAGAAAATGTTTGTTTTGCTGCTTTTTAGACATTTTTGGAACTAAGCTGTTTGAATATTTCTCTTAGAATGAAATCTGTTTTACAAAAGTGAGATTTTTCTCTTTATTTATTGTGCTTTTAAATAAATGTGTCCAAACACTGCATGTTTTAATGCCATTTCAACAGAAGAAGCATGTTCTCAGGGAGACCATTTAAATAAAGATGTTTTATGAAAATATATTAGCATTTGTGTCATTACTTTCTATGCAGGTGTGCATTTGTTTATTTACTCTATCAGCTGGATGTCAGACAAAATGTGTGAAATTTAGCTAATCAAATTAAGCACCTTTAATCTTCAGAGTTTATTTAAAAAGCCTTTCAAATCTTTTCCAGTTAAAAACAAACATTTATGAAGGTGGAAAAAGATAAGTATGGAGAAACATTTGTTTCAATATTATTGAAAGCAAAGTAGGGGCGGAGCTAGAGTGGGGGCAGGGGAACCACTGGACCCCCTTGAAGTCTGATTAGCCCGTAAATCATGGACATGTGACAGCATCAGGTCACTGATGTACAAAGCTTGATGCTATGCAGAGTTAGGAAGTGCAACCAAATGTTCTAGTTCAGGAAAAGTAAAAAAAAATAGCCTAAACTAAATTTAACTTCAACTACAGGTTATTTAGTTAATGTTTTTCAGCAGGAAAGAGCTCTTCTGCATAAATTCTTGGAGGAATAGTGGAGATTTTGGTCTTACACTGTTAATAATAACTGAAATAAATAGGAGGATAAATTAAAAATTTTAAAAAGCATTTTACATGTAATGGCATAGATGTAAATTAAAAAAAAAAAAAAACTTCAATTTTAAATGACCAAGAGAAAATTTTATTTTTTTGAACACAGTTCAAAAACGGACATTTGAGGAAAATGTATAAAAAAAAAAGTTTGACCCTTATTTTTACAGTTTGTTTTTCCAGACTTTTCAGAATTTTCTGATTTTAATTATTTAGTTTTTTTTTTTTTTTTGCAAGGTTTTAGTCTTTTTCCAAAAAAACATCTGATTTAATTTAATTTTTTTTTTTTTTTTTGCAAGGTTTTAGTCTTTTTCCAAAAAAACATCTGATTTAATTTAATTTTTTTTTTTTTTTTTGGAGAAAACTGAGTTTTATGTTTAACAGACTTCACTCTGTAGACGTCTGCATGGAACAGCATTTCTATTGGTCTTTGTTTGGAACCAATAGAAACAAGTCTCCTCTGTGAAGCATTTCTATTCATTTCTAATTTGACAAAATAATGTCACATCTGAGGTTATACTTTTAGGTTTAAATTACTGGTCAGATATAGTTTCTATTTCTGTTCACATTTATTTAGGGATAGAAAGTATGGCTTGGGTGCCTATATTGTTTGCAATTTTCTTTGTAGTTATTGTTTGTTGAATTAGCTGTCTCAAATTGTCTGAAATAATTTCATAGATTCAGAAAAGTGTGTTTGAATTTTTTTTTAAATTAGATATGAAAAACAAAATCTGAGAAGAAAATCTTTAAAATAGCTAACCATCGATAAAATATTTTTAACATGCACATAAATTTGTCCTTTTTTTAGTGAGGCTTTGTTTTTTTTTTCAAATTTCCTTTTTTTGAAACACATTTTCTTTACATTTCTTTTTTTTTTCAAGAGGTTCTTTGCGTTCGAAAATATTGGAACAAATTTCTCTCCATAGCTGTAAATGTCCACTTTATCTTAACTATAGAGGTTTTGCATGCCGTCACACATAAGTAACTTTTTTGATGTTACTGTAAAGCATTCATTTTCAAAGTTGGGGTCCTCCATCAACTACTAAATGCTCTTGATATCCTGTTAAGAAATTAAACCAATTAAATGTTTATGATAAAGTGTTTTATGGTTGTGTGTTCTGTTATTACACCTGTGGTTAAATGTTTTAGTAGATTTTGTTCTCTCTGGTTCCATTTTGTGGGTGAGAAGTTAAAAAGAAGCCCTTGGCACTGGGATTGGGTCTAAAAGCCTGACTGAATGCTAATCCAACTGGCTGCTAGAAGCTGATGGATTCCTGTTAGAATTAAAGTATCTTTTACTGTCTGGCTTCATTTCTGCCATACCTTTGCATATTTATTATTTTAAAATCACAGATGAGACATTTTGAATTTAGTTTTATATTCTGTAAAATTCCAGCTTTACCATCGACATCTAAGGCTAGTAAAACATTAAGAAACATTTACAGTCAGGAGTTTCTCTTCTGGGATTGAAGCAGAAACCTTTTGTCTGTTTGATTACCAGGAAATACTTTAAATTCCTTCAGAGGGAAAATACTTTAGTAAATATTCAGACGTTAAAGTTTGAGTCACATATACCGAAGGTACCGTAGGTCTGCAGGAAAGCAGCTGAAGGACAAAGTTACTGTTTCTCTGCCTAAATATCAAAGATGGCGTCTTGATACCTCAGTCACTTTTAGGGTGATGCAACACTTGGAAAGCTGATCTCAACCTGAACAAAAAACACTTTTTACTCAGTTCTTTATACTCAACCTTTTCATTTTAACTGGGTTTGGAATCTATACATCTGGGGCTTATTTTTGCTCTATTTAACACAGGTTCATATTCTCAGATACACACTTGCATCTTTATAAATAAGAATATTAATGTAATGGTGATGTGTTGACGTAGAAAAGTGACCCTCATCTGGAATTTAGTTTAAATTTAAAGGTGTTTTTTGTGTTTCTTTAATAATCAGGGGTAACAACCGAAATTCCAGTTTTTTTTGGGAAAATTTAAATATTTCATACAATCAGTTAAATCGGCCTAAATAACAATATAATGTTACGGATAAAGAGTGCTGCAGCCAAAGCTATGACTGGAAGAAAAATGTTTGATTGAATAATAAGTGCATATTCAACTTGTGTTTTAATCAAACCTGTACACAGTGAGTATTATTTTACATTACTTTACCATTAATAAAGTTTAACTTAACATGTTTGGAGTCTAAATGTGGGAGTACCTTAATAATAACCAGGCGTGCTCTGGTCTTTAGATGAACATGTGCATTTTAATGACTGGAAATTTTATCAAAACTATTTTATTTCAATTATTTTTAAAAAAGTTATATCTGGGATGATTTATTTTAAATATTTATTTCTGTAAACTGTGATGAAGACCTAAAGCTAATGAAACCCCCAAATTCATCTTTTCTTCAAACATACCCAGAGCAGAGAGATGAAGCTTCAAAATAAAAACTCTATGTAAATAAACTTTTTTACATTTTAATTTTACTTAATTTGAGCAGAGAAATAACAAAATTGAACAATTAAATAAGATGTACATTTTAAAAAATTTAAAATAACTCCAATATCATATATTAGTGAAAAAAAAAATCCTTTGGCAGATCATCTTATTTACCTGCTCAAATTAAAGCCACATACGTAGCCTGATTAATTTTTTTTACCTATTTTAAGATCTTATTTTTTCAGACGTGTGTTTTTGTGTTACTTACTCAAATCTTCTGAGGATCGACTGGATGTATGAACTCTTTTTGGGCGGAGCCGGTTTCTGTTTCTTTTCAGAAGTCACACTACAACACATGAGAAGTTTCCTCTTAGTGTTATCTGTGCATTACTTTAGAAAAAGAAACCCTGTGGCTGATGTTGTTTCTGCAGAACATCCTGATCAGCTCTGCTGAAAATTACTCACCTGTCCTCCTCAGGCCTCTTGATCCAACAGTTATCCTCCTTGAACTCATGAGTGACCTTGATTTGTTGAAATACCTTCTTTTTGCCAAAGTCTAAAAGAGATGTTCTGAATTAATTGAAATATTCTTAATAAATTTGGAAATATATATTTTTTAATAGATTGCCACCTTACCTGCTGACATGGTGTCTCTATGATCTTGAACCTGTAAAGATGAGTACATTTAAATGAAGTTTGCTGCATTTCCTGGTTCGGTATAACTGCTTTTCAACAGCAAGCTTAACTCGAAATAAACAAGTTTATAATCTTCATTTCGAACTGTGTTCACTCATCTCTGCCCAGGTCGTTATAAACGTTTTGAGATCTCATCACATATTCTCCATCCTTCCCCCCTCTGATGCGTCGTTAACATTTTTGACCTGTGCTTAGTTTTTAATCTCCTTTAATGGATCTAAATAAGAAGCTGTCAGCACCAATTAACCGGGTCAGATTTGCTATGCATTGGAAATCAAGCCAATTTAGACTTTCTAATGAGCTTTGGGTGTGCAAACAAGTCAGGGAGATAAGTACCACTGGAAAAAAAGAAAAAAGAAAAGGCCAGTTTTTTGGAATTAGGTTTGGCAGACTTACCTATTTCAGTCTGCTGGGTCGTCCACCCCGATGATGCCGAGTCTTCTCTGCGTCTCTGTTGCCACCAGGTTGGTAGTGATACTTAAACCCAACCTGTCATTTCAGATTCCACCCCCTACTGAGCATCAAAGGCAGACGGCCATCACTCCCCCCCTCATTCTGGTTTTACTTCTGCTCATGAGTGAAAAGCCACATTCCAAAGATGTCATCCGTTAAGATCTTTTTGCAGCAGCTCTTTCCTGATAACCAGAAATGAATGTGGTTTGTTTTCTATTTCTCAATCTCAACCCCCCACCCCCTTGATCTGAGTATGTATTCACCAAATTTAATCAAAATAAATGATTTCAATAAAGCCGCAAATAATAAACCTGATTTATTACATTATAAAATTCGCTGAGGAAGTTTTTCAGTTCTGTTTTTGCGTTTTTTTCCGAAAAGCATTTTTTTGTGTGTGTTGTAGATGATTCAGATAAAAAAGAATTCAGGAATCATGAAAAACCAGACCTGAAACTAATTAAGGTGTAATCTCTTCCTTATCAGTGCGTTTATGATATTTTCCCTGGAAGGCATTCCCGTACAACGTGTTTGCTACAGTGCACACGGCATGCTGTTGACAAACATCTTACTGAACTAGAATGGACCAGTTTAGTTTCTGTTTCTGGAAAGAGCTGTCAGCATCAGCCCTGTTTAAAGCTCAGATTCTCACTTTATTCATTTCTGGGTTTTTTAGGGGGGTGGGCATGTTGGAGCCAGAGCTTCTATGATGCCCAGAAAATTCTCTGATATTGTTTAACTGGCTCTGGAATAATATGGAAAAGGAAAATTGTTTCATATTTTATCATTGTTTATTTTCTTAATGCCTTGTTTCTTATTTCTTGTATCCTACCACAAGAAGACAGGACTGTATTTTCTTTTCTCTCAACTACTCTGATATTATTGATCCTATATCAATCAGTTATGTATTTTTTAAACTCACTTCTGCCAGATAAATGGCCGTACCATTTGAATGGGATTACAAGGGACAGATTTTTCAATATGGTCATTCAAAAAAAATAGTCGACTGTTGTCATTGTCATCAGTCCATTCAATTTCACCAACTTTTCATCCACATGTGTGTGTGTGTATATATATATATATATATATATATATATATATATAAGGTCATCCTCTAAATTCTATGTTTTTTAAGGTGTATTTTTTTGTTCACGTCAGTTTGATTGTATAACTTTGATCACAGCTTAGTTAGATGAAATCAATAGTTTTACATTAAAGTTACATGGTATCTCATTGACAAATATAACCTACCTACAGTCAAGCATGGTGGTGGGAGTGTCATAGTTTGGGAGTGTCAAAAAAGTATGTGTGGTCATCTCAATTTGTACATTTAAGTCAATACATTTAAAATTTGTATTTGTTCCTTGCTGTCGACTCATGCAAACGTGACATCAGCTATTTGATCTGTGAGAATACAAGTTTAGTCATGGAGAAGACGAAGGAGATAATTATTGTCTCCGCTGCTCATCAACAGCTCAGCAGTAGAGGTGGTCAGCAGCACCAAATTCCTGGAGATGCACATCACAGACAACCTCACCTGGTATGTAAACACCACCTCAGTGATCAAAAGGGCACAAAAGTGCATGTACTGCGGAGGATGAGGAGAGCCCACCTGCCCCCACCCATCCTCACCACCTTCTACAGAAGCGCCATAGAGGGCGTTCTGACCAGCTGTCTCACTGTGTGGTGTGGAGGCTGCAGCACCTCAGACTGGAAGAAGCTGAGGAGAATAGGTAGAACTGCAGAGAAGATCATCGGGGCTCCCCTTCCCTCTGTAAAAGACATTTAATCAGAGCGCTGTGTGTCCCAAACCCCTAATATTTTCAATGACCCCTCACACCCCTACCATGGATTGTTCTCCCTGCTGCCCTCTGGGAAGAGGTTTTGCAGCATTCGATGCAGCCCCAGCAATTTCTGCAAAAGCATTTTTCCCCACTGCCATCAGACTGTTGAACTATAAACTGGACTATGCATCACATTATTTTGCACTAACAATGTTGCTAAACTTTATAATCCTTTTAAATAGAACACAACTCAATGTTTCTACTGCATTTTGCACCATATTTATTTTTGCCCTAAAACTGAAAGTTTTCACATTAATGCACTTTTGGACCATTATTTAAACTAGTTTCTTTTTCCTCCTTCCATTGTTTACATTCTGATCACTGCTGCACTTTATATAATTAATGTTTGTCTACTCCAACCCAGTTGGAGTTAAGGCGGCAACTGCATCAATCCAAAGTGTTACATCAAAATATTTGATGAAGTATTTACAAGAATGTTGGGATGTGCTTACTTTCTGTCTCTCATTGTTCCTAAATAAAACAGATTTTGTATATATTGCATTTATTTACTGGCATATTTTTAGAGTATTTAGCTTTTTTTGGTTATTTTTGTTGTTGTGTTAACACCACAGTTCACATCCGGAAGCCTCAACTGTTTTACCAAGAAGTCATTTGGATTTTCTGATGGCAGGTTTCCATTTTTTCCCCACCTCTTTAAGAACTCTTACAACATACACGAAAATGTGACCAAGCTACAATTTTGAACATCCTTTAATTAGGCTGTACGAAGCATCACTTTTGGTTTCGTTATGTTCCTGTAAAATATGCAAGCGATGAGCTGAACAGTGAAATAATCTAGCAAATATTTAACATGAAATAAATCTAAAAGATCAGCTTCACTTACAGGCTCATTTCCTTTATTTTAACAGGTGAAAACCCCATTGAGACCAAGATCTCATTTACAAGAGGGGCAGAAAGTCTGTGGAAGGCATCAAAAGAGTTACACAAATCAAATACATTGTAGCGGATGGAACAATCAGTAATATGATTAAAATAAGAGCATCACACTGCTTATTTCTAAGAATGGTTTAAAATAATTTCAAAGAAATTAGATCCTTCATCTCAAATTCTCACTGAAGATGGTGTCATGCTGTTGCAGCAATAAATGCTAAATGCTTGTTTCCCTATTTACGTTCAAATTTCTGGAAAAATCAAGGAAGGAAAATGTCTTTTTAGTGAAGAGACTAGTCAGTTTTTGCAGAAGAGGGTTGTTAAATATGAAGAAGTCTGGCTAAGCAGAGATTTTTAAATCAAAGTCATTAAAGGAATGTGTCTCCGTACATAGAGGAGGCTTGTCAGTTTTTTCTCCACTTTCAAAACCCATTATAAGGGTTTGTCAACTGCACTGTACTCCAAGCAGACTAAATAAATATTTTAGGACTAAGTCATCTGTTGCATAAAAATAATTATAATGTTTGTACACAATGGTTATACTGTTTAGTATATGGTTCTGTTGTTGTTTGTATTAACATGGGGGGTTACATTATGACACTGAAGAACCTAAAAAAGCCAATCATCCAAAAACAGTGTTGATTATGTCCCAGTATAAACATGACTTTTAGTTCTTTATGCCTTAATCTTCGGCTGGCTTAATAGAACGTGAAAAAATAATGTTTAAGTGCAAGACGAACAATTACCATAAGAACATTTAAACGTTTTTTTTAGGTTGCCAATATCTGCCCCTTACCAACTCTTTTGTGTAACTGCAAGCTTTATTAAACACATTAAACGGTGGTGCAATTTTTTTCTTCTGGTTCCCGATCATGCTTGAAAAATAAAAATAAATTGAGAAACGCAATAAAGTTTCAAAAGTAAATTCATTATATTAGTATAATCTGTGCAGTTCAGCATCATATATTTATTTGATCCGAGTTTAATAATTAGATTTTTTGATGAGGAAAGTAATTATGGAAAAAGGGAGGGAATGGAGTATTAAAGGAATTTTAGGGAACGATGGAGATAGGGAGGAAAATTTGGTTATTAATAAAGCATCGTTTTTATTTTTACATAACACAAAAATAAAAAATAGAATATAGTAGGTGGAACTACAGAGATACACACTCATGGACAGCAGGTGGCGGTATGCACCTATAAACTGTCTGCAGTCCGCCATTCTAAGAAAGAAGAAGAAGAATTTTTTTTTTTTTTTTTTTTTTTTTTTTCCCTCTTCCGGAAGCTACGTCACAAGGCTTAGCTGGGGTACCCTGTCGTTTGCTAGCATCTTGGTAAGTGTCAACACGGGTAAACAAAAAAACTACTTTTTCATGTGTTTTATTCATACCTTAAAAGGTACACAGTTCTCTATAATATTGTTGTTTAATAAGATTTGGAATATTTATGAGTCATATATGACGGGATAAGTGGTGTTAAACTATGTTAGCATGTCAGCATCTCTTTGGCTAAAATGCTAACTTGTGTTCGTCTAGTTAGAAGCAGATTTAGCCATATTAACACATTAATATTTACTGGGTTTCCTTACATTTCTACCATGATGCTAGAAAACTTTTCAACATATCGAAAATCCTGTTTTCTCAACAGATGTTTTTTTATTTATCTGTAACGTTTTGATAAAACAGAGCCGTCCAAGATGACTACAGCTGCAAGACCAACATTTGAGCCTGCCAGGGGGGGCAGGGGGAAAGGAGAGGGGGATCTGAGTGCTCTCTCCAAACAGTATTCCAGCAGAGATCTTCCCGGTCACACCAAGATTAAGTACAGGTCAGTGGATCAAACATTTAGCTAATTCAGAAGATCACATTATATATTTGGGTTCTGCAAAGGAGAAGCGGATGGTTTCTTTTGACATTTCAAGGGATACAAAGATTTTCTTGAGTGTTGAAAATGCAAAATTTCACATCTAATTCATGTCCCTCAATTAACAACATCCGAACAGGTTATTCATTGTCAGATATAAACCTTTCAACAAATGTTTATGGATTAAGAGTTGTGCCCATTGCAGTTGCTGAAATAAATACTAATTTAATTCAGAACCAGACATACTTAGGGCTGGGTATCATTCAAAAAGTTGCGGTGCCGGTACCAATACTTATACCTTCACTTCGATACCGCTTCCTGAACGATACTTTTTTCGATACTATTTTTATAACATCAATTCAAAGAAAAAGAAATTTACAAAACATAATAAAGTACAAATCTTGAGTTTTATTTTAAGCTCTGATTTTTCCATTTACATTTTTCCTCTTACATAAAAAAAAAAAAAAAAAATTCAGTGAAGAACAGTTGCAAACAAGTCAGTGTCTAATATTCACTGTTACATTGTGAGGACCCTTTTACTTAGCAGTTTTTCTTTAGAAGAATTAACATGTTAGCTTTCTCAGGAGACAAACAAGCCTGTTGAATGGGACTCCTACTGTCAGCGCACCGCTGATATGTGGGGGTCTGAGCGGCTCCGACAGAAATAATATTGGAAGGCAGGATGGTAATCTGAATGAACTGACTGCACTGATTAAGTTTTCAGGTGGATTTTCCCACTTAAAAACTTAATAAAACTACTTTATTCCCACTGATCACAGCAAATATAGCTGCAAGGCAGAGAAAGGATAGTGAAGCTCCACCCAACGCGCGTCAGAGCCACTTTTCGACCGCGCAGCCAGAGCAGCAAAGCTGCTTCAGCCGCGCGTCAGAAGCTGGTACAAGCAGCAAAAAGGAAGCAGCAGACGCGATTTTGCTGCTCCTGCTGCGTCCGGTGTGAACGCAGCATGATTCACTCCGCTCTGGCTTTGCTCTGCCCACGGGCTGCTGAGAGGAGGATGGTTGCGCCAGCTGCGGTCCGCTCTTCTTGCAATCAAAAACTGAGCAACTTTCCGCTCTTAAATTGTTTCCGTGCACGATGTAATGCATTGCGCACTATTGGCATCAGTCTTAATAAAGTGAAGCCACACTTTTGACCTGGGGGGTATTTTAAAGGGGTTCCACGACGCTCGCAACCAGTTCACAACAGATACACATGAACCCTGGCTGTAGGCGTGACCACCTACGTATTTTTCCTGGATGACGCAATCACGTTAAGTGTTACAGCCAATCACCGAAACTTGGTACCGAAAGACGAGGCATGTTTCGATACTCTGTAGAACCGAAGCATTTCGGTCGGTACCATAAAAGAACTGATGTTCGTTACCCAGCCCTAGCCCTTCGTTACCCAGCCCAGAGGGAAATTACTTTTGTTACACGCTCCAGATATACAATCATTATATATATATATATATATATATATATGCATAACTATAAATCCAATAAAGTGATTATTAACATGTTTGAATTAATTGTCTGAGCTCTAGATTTATCATCGCCCTACCATCTGATCCAAATCTGTGATCATGAATCAGGGCTACAAGAAAGAGTTCCTCTGGAGTAAGCTGCCAAAATTAGCATCTACTGCCAGGTTTACATTGGCATCTTATTTGGATGCCTTCTGAACTTGTCCTACTGAGACAGACTCATAGTCTGTTTGGAGGAGGCTGTGTGTAATTTCTGGCCTTTTTGTCCTCCAGAATGAGTAGCTAAATGTTACTAGGAAAGGGGGAGCCTGTTATTCCCACCCTCTGATCTCTAAAAGCAGAAGATGATGGAGAAATTATTTAACCTGTTATAATTATTTTTCAGTCAAAGGTCCAGTTTGGGATTTTACAAACTGTCATTTTGTCAAAATATAGCAACTGAGAACACTGTGGCTTTGTTTTCTATGATAGTTTAATGCCAAACTTCAACTGTCAAATAAGAAGTAAATATTGAGTTAAATTATATTTCTTAAGTGATTTTAAACCTGTAGGGGGCAAAGTGCAGCTAATCCAGTTATTGCAGATAAAATAAAATTAGCTGGTGGGATCATCCCTAATTAGTTAATGTCTTATGCTCAGGCAACCTACCCAGGATGCCCCAGAGGAGGTGCGTGCCCGTGACTTCCGCAGAGAGCTGGAGGAGAGGGAGCGTGTTGTTGCACGTGAAAAGACCAGAGAGAGGGGACCCAGAGGTACCTTCCTTAAAGAGCATCCCTGTCACAGTCGCCAATTACTCTAATGCTTTTGACAATGAGATGTGTTATTTTTTTGTGATTTTATATATTGTTTCATTCTACCAGAACACACCACATCATCATCTTCCTCTTCATCATCTTCAAAGAGGCCCAGACTGGATCAAATCCCAGCAGCAAACCTTGATGCTGATGACCCTCTGACTGATGTGAGTGTGATCTGGGAATGCCATCTCTTCATGTTAAAGTTAATCATTGTTGTGTGCTTTTAAATGTTATAATCTTGATAAAAAGGTGTTAAGATATCTACTTCATTCTTTTGGGGGATGTATTACGTTACTGTGATCTCTCCTCTCTGTATTTAAAGCCTCACCAACAAACAACACGCATATGTTGGGTTCAAAAAGGCTTCCAACGCCTGAACCTAGACTGGTATCAGAATCATTTCTCTGTATGGGTTTCTGATGTACTGGAGAGAGCGGCATTGATAAGTGGGGAAAAGTGTTAATTAAGATATTTTTATGGGAGAGAGTAAACTTCAAAATTTCATCCATGAAGTCAGTTTATCAGGATAATGATCCTACTTCTAAATATTCTGCATTTGTTACCACCTGTTATACATACAGGTGGTAGCATTGAGTGACGGCTCCCTTAAGCCAGCCAGTCACTGCCAATCATAGCCGCTGAAATGTAATATAAGCAATTTTTAGGTGTGTTGTTAAAAATTGCAACTACCCTGAATGTAAAAATCTAATATTTTCTGTTGGTATGCTTTTATATTTTTAATTAAAGCTCATATATTATACAACATTTGAAAATAAAATTATTAACAACGAACCCCTCCCTTCTCTGGTTTGCTGCAAAATTTCTGGCTTCCCATCTTTGGAGTCTGCTGCTTTGGACTGCTGTTGATGCTATTCAGGAAATCCCGCCTCTTGACACATTACTGTTTTCTTCCTGGTTGCGGCTAGACTTCATTAGCTAACATCCTCAGGCTAATTGCAGTTCACCTCAAGACTACAATTCTAATTTTATATCAGTATAGTATATAACAGTGGATTGAAACTGATTGTAAATGTAAATTCAGCTATAAGTAGCAGGTCATTCAAGCAACACCTTCCCAAATATAAACAATGAAGCTAATGCTAGGCTAGCTCACATGAAGTTCCTCATTTAATATGAATCATTTCAGAGCATACTGCTGCTGTCAGAACACATTCATGTCTGTGTTAAACTAAGTTATTAAATGATTACTTGACTAAACCAGATATTAACTCTGTAAGAGAACAGCTATTGGCCTAAAGATGCTTAGCTTAAAATAATAGCAGCAACTAGGATAAAAACAGTACTGTATCAAGAGGGGATTTCCTGGAAAGCAGCCAATCACAGACAGGTTACTTTATCTGGTTGCTTTCTCCCTTGAAGAGACAAATGTTGTCAAACGCACAGAAACGCATCAACAGGAGAGAATCTGCAGGAATATAAAAAGCAGAGGAGCATGAACTCATGCTGTGCAGCGCAGGACAATATTTCAATCTCTCTATTTTATATCGTGATGTTATTTAATTCATATCAATGATTTGTCATGCAAAGAGTTTTTGATGTTTCAATGCACCTTACAATCCTTAGTTGACACATTGGTCTCTGACAGTTGTCTTCAAGCTGATAGTTTAAAATCCTAAACGTCTTGTATGTCCTTTATTTTTTTAAGGAGGATGAAGATGAGGACTCCGAGGAAGACAGTGACGATGATGACACTGCAGCCCTCCTCGCTGAGCTGGAGAAGATCAAGAAGGAGCGAGCCGAGGAGCAGGAGCGCAAAGTAAACTTGATGTTTCTGCATGTTCTAAAGTCTTATAATGTGTCTCACCTTCTGTTAGAAAGGAGTTTATCATTCTCTTTCTGTTTTCTGCTTTAGGAACGAGAGCAGAAGGCGGAGGAGGAGAGGATCCGAATGGAAAATATCTTGAGTGGAAATCCACTGATCAATTTGGCAGGACAGCAGCAGCAACAGAACCAACCTCAGAACACATTTAGAGTCAAAAGGAGGCAAGTCTGTCTGACAGAAACTCCAATTTACAGCATCGGGGCGCATGGGAAGCCTTTACTGGCTTTATTAATGCATAATAAGACTCCGTCTTTAATCTTATTTGTTATCTCTCTAGATGGGACGATGATGTTGTGTTTAAAAACTGTGCCAAAGGAGTGGACGATGCACGGAAGGAGAAACGCTTTGTGAACGATACGCTGCGCTCTGAATTCCACAAGAAGTTTATGGAAAAATACGTCAAGTAAAAGACTTTCTGCACCCTTTATTGTTTTTGTTTTTTTAATTAAAATACATTTCATCTCCAAGCCTCCAATGATTGGTGGCATTTATTGGTGTAGAAATGTGTTAAAATGCAGAGTCAACAGGTAAACAGCTGTATATAAATGAGTTGGTAACTTTCATCCTTTGTTTAAACCTTGTGAAAACATTTTAAAATGTGATTAAATGTTTTTCTCTTTTGTTTCTTATTTCAATAAACAACGGCTTTGCAAAGACGAATTCTGTGAAACGTCTCTTTCAAATTAATACTTAGAAATATTTTTGTATGCCTTTTTACTGTGATTTACAGATGTTATTTTCTTCTAAGATTAACATCACATAGATGATGGGTCTGACTTTCCTGCACAGAGGAAAACGACTCGACTGTCTTAGTCATAGCACCAGTAACGCTCAAATGTGCTGAGAATGGATTAAAAACTGCAAACATGTTGCAGAAGGTGATGCAGTCAGTTTATGGGGGGAAAAAAAATTCATAGAACCCCAGCAGAAGTGTCTGGAGAACCCAAAGGTTGAACTTAATGAAAAAATACATTTATTTTAGACTATTTCCACTACTAAAGGTGATCATCTAAGCAATATGTACAAAAACAGAACATAAACATTTTATTAATATAATCAACGCCTCATTACGTTTTTATAGTTTTAAGACAGAATGGAACAAAACGAAATTACCAGTTGAATAAACTTGAAGGTATTTATACTCCAGATATTGATCAATCTAAAGTGTCTGAAAAGCAGAACAATTGATTATGCATACCCACTGTCCCTCTTATTGCCCCTAAATGTAAAGAATTCTGTAAAAAAAAAAAAAAAAAGGATATTGAGGTATTATATTTTGCTACTCATGATGATATCCCATATATTTAAAAAAAAAAGTTGCTAAACATATTTTCTGGTGTTTTAAACAATGATTAAAATAAAAAGCAGTAATTATACAAAAATATAGGTGGATAAAAGAAAACACCTCAAAATACATTTTTGTTGCCATAATAGATTCATAATTAGTGCTTATAGTATGTAAAGTATACAGATTAGAAGAGGATTCATTTTGGTAAAAAATACATTTAAATGCTTATTTAACGTCCAAATGACACGACAGAATCAGCAGATATAAAATAACATTAAGTCTGAACTGCATCTGGTGTGCTTTTTAATTTTAATTAATTTTAATTTTATTTTTTTAACTGGGCAAAGTTACTCATGATGGTAAGAGAAGCCAGCATTTTTACTAAGATGCTTCATATTTTTTACTAAAAAGTGAAATGTAGGTATGTAATACTTCAAATTAGATTTTTTAATTTCAAAAAGTTACTTGACTAAACAAGAAAATGTTCTACCCACCTCTGCAAACGAGCACAGCGTGAGTACGGTGGTGGTAGCATCATGCTGTGGGGATACTTCGCCTGCAATAGACCATGGTAAAAAGTTGAAGATTTATTGAATGAAGTTCTGGGTTATTCTGGAGGATGTAGAAGAACTGAGAGTGTGACTGAGGTTTATCTTCTAACTCTGCAACAAAACAAGCGGATCAAAGACCCGAAAGTTAATATAAAATATGGTCCAAACCCACCCCGCCTCTCGCCCATTGACTGCTGCAGACCAGCACCCCTCGTGACCCCACTTGGGACAAGCGTGTAAAGAAAATGGATGGATGGTCCAAACCCACTAAAGCTGAAATGTGTTGGGTTTTTGAGTGTTTTCTTTTCCCATGAGAATCAATTGAATGAATAAAAAAAATTTAACCTTTTCTGTTTTCTCACATTTTCTTTTTACATGTTATTGCTTAAACTGTTTATTTCTTTTACAGATTTATAATGTTTTAAAATTTTATTTTTTTTAATCTATCTTTTTCAGATTTTTATGAATTCGATTTTTCTTAATTTTTTACACATTAAATTATAAAACACAATTTAAAAATGATGACGTTCGTGAAACTTAATCTAGAAGGGAAATTTTAAAAAAAATCACATATAAAATATGTTGGAAACACTAAAAAATATTACATTTGCATAAATATAAAACAAAAAATAAAAACAAAAAATGAAAATCTGGGAAAACATCAAATTTACTCTTTACTTTTTTTGTCTTGTTTTTTTTTTCTTTTATCAATATGTTTTCAGAATCAGAAATACTTTAATAATCCCAGAGGGAAATTGGTTTTGATACACGCTCCAGAAACAGTTTTATATATATATATATAAATATATATAAAGATATATCTATATATATCTATATATATAGATATATATAAATATAGATATATATAGATATATATACACAACAAACCACACAAGATAATAAAGATATACATATATACACATATAATATATATATATATATATATATATATATATATATATATATATATATATATATATATATATATATATATATATATATAGTGTGTGTGTGTGTGTGTACAGCTAAATCCAAGTAAAGTGAAAGTGACGTGCAAAAATTGTTTAAGGAATGAACAAAGTTTCTTTTGTGGGTTAGGTTTATGGTTTACCATTTACCATTTTAGGTTTATTTTCTATTCATTTATTTATTTATTTTTATTTTCAAACATGTTATTTGACAAAAATTCCCCCCATAACCCCCAAACAGCATTCACCAAGTGTATTTTGACCTGAAAAATCATTTAATGTATCTTATATTAGGCTACAAGTTAGGTTCAAATTACTTCATCTTAGTATATTCAAAATATGAGTTCTCGCAATCATTCATTATCGTGTCTCTGCATATTTCATAAAAGTTGGTTTTCATTACGTGAAGAGAGACGGTTTAATTGACTCTTTGCTTTTGTTCAGTTTGAGAGAAAACTATTTTTTGTTGTTTGTTGTTTTTGTTGGTTGTATTACTAGACTTCCGCCGACAGAGGTCGCCATCCTCCACAATGCCGTATTTATTACAGGATCGGGAGGCTTCTGGGAAAAAATGGCAGCTTCCTTTTGTTTGTGAGGATTGGCTGCACTGGGAGCGGACATTTAAAGGCGGTGTTCAGCGGAAACCCCGGTCTATTTCACACACTGAGGGCTTTTCCTGCCTTTTATTTACTTTCTAGAAGATGGAGAAGAGCGGCAGCATCGACAGTTTGGGCTCCAAACCCTCCTCATCCCGACAACCAAGTGTTGATTCATTGTCCAGGTAGCTAAACCCGTCTTACTTTATCGCTTTGGAATATGGCTAAAACTCCGTTAACTGCTTCTCTGCTGATTTTAGGGACTTCATAAAGGTGCTTAACGTCTCCTAGTTCAGCGTCATATTCATAGGTATCCGCCTGGAGGCTTTTAATCCCAATAATTAAGTCCTAAAGTGTCCCAGGAGCCGGTGGTCAGCGTCACTTTGGCTCACATCCGTTTCAGTTACTGTATTTTTTTTTAAACCAGTAAGAAAGACTATTTTTTATTTGATCACATGAAATGAACTAAATGCAAATAAAAACGTAACACACTGATCTATTTAAAGCCGCTCTGTCATTGAGAATACAGCTGGGTTATGTTGACGTTTTTGTCCGGCAGATAATTAGAAAGTTTAGTGGAAGGAAAACCTGTTTGAACAGGGGTTAAATAATATAGATAATTACAGCCTTGAGAGTCTATGGGCAGGGGCTCAGCTAGATGGGGGGCCAGGGGTGGCCTTGGCCCCCCTTAGCCGATCATTGCCCCCCCCCTGTGGCCACCCCTACCATTTTTTCCCTCTAATACAGCTAGTTACTGCAGTAATGCTCTGAAGGGAAATGTTCAAACATATTAAACACTTACATTTTTCATATATTAACAATTACTTTACAACAGAAACACTGTGGTTAATGCACATGCACATCAATGTACTAACATTAAAGATGATAAATACAGAATTCATGCTCTTTTCAAAACTAAACTTTGAATTATTTGGGGGGTAAAGATAAAATGATGTGTCTCCACAAGTCATGTAGGAGTCTTCAGTGAAATCAGAGATAAATAACTACTTTCATAATAACTTAAACATTAATTAAATGTGGATATTAGTACATGTAAATATAATTTTTTTTGCACAATGACTATTCATAAAAGTAGTAATGACAATGTAAAAGATGTTCGCCCCAGATCTCAAACCTGAAAGAATTTTATCCACTATACCTTTAATTCAGACAGTATGGATGCTTAAATATCTGCATCTATTTGTGAGCAAAGGCAGTAGGAAAGCATAATAAGTCTTTATTTAGAAAACATGGACTTTGTGGTTGTTCCTGTTTGGCCAACCCTCAATGGGGATGTACTTTTTTCTTCCTCTATCAAGGTGATCAAAATAACAGGATGACACATTTTCCCCAAAGTCTCAATACAACAAAAATTAAACTATTAACCAAGCAAAGCATTGACAGCACATGGAGGGACTGACGATAGATGCATGTATCAGATGATGCTAATACAATAAATAAACACTAATATCAGCTGTCCGGTGTATAGGCCTGCCTCTAGAGGTGGTTGTTGGCCTGCAAACCAGGTCAGCGAGGCAAACAATGAACTCAACGACTCCCCATTGCTATGGGGTGGACCTGTTTTTTTGGTTCAGTTTGCATGTTTTCTAAGCCATAACAAGGCTTTTGTTTGTGCCAATCTATGAGCTTGGAACTCAAACTCTAATCTAATCACTAAACCAGGAGAGGATGTAGGAGGAGAGGATTAGGGACATACTTTGAGCCAGAGAGGAAGCAGGAACTTCTATCGGCTCTTTTTACCAGGAGCTAATTGTGTGATATCCTCATTTCAAATCAATATGTTGAAGTTAATAGTCACTCATAATTAATGTGTGTTTTTTTAATTTTAACAGCATCCAACCTGTGCCATCCAAGATTCCTGTTTATCAAGATCCTAAAGTCTGTGAATACTGAAGTTTGATCCAGTATTTCTGACTGTATAATGATGGGAAAAAAATCTTAAACTATTTAAACAAACCAAAGACGGATGCTAACAGCTGGAGTGTCACTTAATAATACTGAATAGGAAATCACGATTTTCCTTGGAATATCAGTAGACTTAGTTTGCCTTGGCTAACCCAGGGTCAGCATGTTTAGATCTAAAATAACAGAAGTGCTCCTTATTAGCCCCAAAAAGCACAACACATCGGTTCACCAGGCTGATGAACTCACCAAGAATTGTCACTTATGTCACAACAAAAGATGAAACTCAAGAGACACAGAAGCCAGGCATTCTTTGCAGAGTCAGATCATTGTTTGACAAGCTGGGCTTGAAAAACATTTTTGCTGAAAAGCAGCCATGGCTAGTGGTTTTAAAAGTTACTAGCCACTCAGCATTTTACTAGCCACAGTTTTGTGGCTGGGAAATTATAACTACTATTAAAGTTGTCTATGTTGCTAAAGTTCACTTGCATATACGGTACTTAGAAATGTCAATTGCAGTTACAGTAGAATATGAATTTAAGAGATAAAAACTAAACTGGAAAAGAAATGACCAAATGTAAGATGCTTTAGAAGGAAACATGCTTCCAGGATTATCACCTGTTAAAATATCCAAACGAAGAGAGAACAGAAAACTAGCATTTTAGCATGTATGAGTTTTATAGTTCTTATTCCTCAAAATCAATGGAATTTGGCCCCTAAAAAGAAACAAATGGCAAAAAATGACCAAAAATCATTTGATTTTTGTTAAAATGTATTGGTTGTCTTGGTTAAAATTATTCTAAGATCAGAAAGTAATTTCTTATTTTTCAATTTGAAATTTCAGAGTTAAATCATCCTGTTGTCCACTACACTGGATAAGCTATAAAATCGAAGTTGAAATATATGTAAAAAAAAAAGAAAAGATTGCAAGGTTTTCATTTAGGCCTTAATAGATAGGAAATCACATTAAAAAAGGTTTTGAGGACTTTTTTTTGTTTGTTTTTACTGACCAAGGATTAAATAAGGAATTCTCTCAAGAGGTTTATAGGTGGCTTTAAAAAAGGCGTTTTGATTTAGTCCTAGAAGGATTGTTCATTATCCTACCTCACCTCCAGCTCAGACCCTGGTCTGTCACTGTCCACTGTGGGCAGTGGTTTTTTTTTGGGCAGTGGTTTCTGCTGGGGTAGATTTACAAGCAGTCCTGCCGAATCTGACCGTTTTTGGGGCTTTTCCAAAAATCTATGGTCTCCCCAAGATAATTCAAAAGTTGTCCATAGAGAACAATTTAGCAGCAGTCCTTGATCTTAAGTTTCACCCCTGTTTTAATTTTGAAATGTCGACAGCGAGACCTTGTCAGGAAATTACATGGGGTTACCAGGGGTAACGGGAGATCCAAAGCGAAGGGGCTGGGAGGCTGGTGATTAACTAAATATTAAACAATCGTTCCAGCCACTAAATGAGGTCAACATGCCCAATGTTATATTCAGTATTGACATCTGATGTTATGCCATAACTTTATTTCAGGCAACAAGCCCAACACCAGCATCTGCTGGAATGGTGACATCATCGGCTGCAATAAAATAATAATTCCATCTTAAAAACCAAATCAGCACAAGCGACAGTTTCACTTGCAGAAATGAAGTAGCACTGAAAAAAAAATGAAAAAATGAAGTACCTTTTTTTAGTTGGGAATAGGTGACCTCTGGGTGGGGTTTCAGCTTCATGCAGCTGAAGCTGCTCCTATTGGATGACGCGGTCCAAGGTGTAAACAGTGCATCTGAAATGCAGAGCAGTGACACGGAGTTCAAGTCTGAGTGCACCTTAAGGGGTGTAAACATTTCTAATCAATGTTTGAATCAATGTTTTATCCTCTGAATTTGTCCTGTCATCTGTTTCCAGTACCTCCACCTCTCGCTCTGACCGCTCCGCCCAGGCCAAACCCCCATCTGCACTGTCCTCCGACTCCGTGTCCACCTCTACAGAGTTCTCCCCGGAGCTCAGGGTTGGTATCCTGCCTTTAGCTTCATAAGACAGAGTTTTCATAGCTAAAGCACAGCTCTCCTCTTTTGTTCTTCCCACAGGTAAAACCCAAAGCTGCTGCCAAGGTACGTCATGGAATTAGCTTCTGAATATGTTACAGAAACTTGAAAAACTCCCACGGAGCAAAAGTTTGTGGTATTATTGTAAAGATGCTCTTTAGCAGCCGTTCTCCTCAATTTCTTGGTCATTTTGGAATCAGTTTTTATTACACAAATGTAATAAAAACCAACTAATAGAAGAAAGCAAACATGCAGGAAATAATTAAGAACTTTCCGAATGTAAGTACAATTTCAAAAAGACTAGAGATGCACCGTCCTGATATTAATGTCTGGGACCGTTTGGGTTATACATGTGTTCATACATATCATATATGCTTGAAGAGAGGAGCTGATGACAGTTTAATTTGTTAAAGAAAAGCTTCTCTTATAATTGTTTTTGATGTATGTTAGTTGTGCATTTTTAGGCAGAAACTGCATGTAACGCTCTCAGGCCTTTAGTAGGTTAAGAAAAACTTCAGATTCTAGTTATAAAAAAAGTCATCATCACCCTGTCTCCTCGGAACTGTAAGTTTGGATCTGAGAGGAAGGGACTGCCTGACATTCAGTGGTTTTGTTTCAGAAGGCGCACAGAGACTCTGATAAAGAAGAACCACAGTTGCTTCCGAATGAAACCGTGCAAGATATGGGTAATTTTCTCTTTTATTTATGGCTTGGACAACGCACCATGCTGTAAATCCAATTATACTTTCTAAAATTCATGATCATGTCCATAATTTTTCCCCAGCGCATGATATCACCTACTTCTGTCCTTTTACTGGAGCGCTGAGGGGAACCGTGATGGTCACCAACTATAGGCTGTTCTTTAAGTCCATGGACAGGGTACGTGTTTGCAATGCTAAGGATAAAAGTTTGGTCCTTTGAAAATGACGAATCATGTTGTTTATTCAGGAGCCGGGGTTTATGTTGGACCTGCCTCTCGGAGTTGTAAGCCGTGTGGAAAAAATCGGAAATGCTTCGAGCCGTAATGATGTGTCCTATGGAGTAGTTTGCAAGGTGAATATGCTGGTGAAATTGTATGGAAAGAAATTTGTTCCAATATTATTTAAAAAATGAACAAATTTTTAAAAAGAGAAGTTAAAGAAAAAAAATTTACTTTGAAATCTTCTCAATAGAAAAACAGGTTTGGAATCATTTTTTAATGTTTATGCAAATGTTTAACCAATATAAGAACAGTTTGCTGCTTTTTTTTTATTAATCTTTTTTAAATATATTTAAAAACATATTCTGAAAAAATCAAGTCTAAAAATTATTTGAAAAGAAATAAATGTGAAAGAGACACAATTTAGGGACTAAAATAAAAAAGAAGCCTTAAAATAATCTACAAAATTTACATTTCAAAAACCTAAAAGCATAGTATATTTAAATAATAAAAAATTAATCAGAAAAAAATTTACATTTCCAAAATAAACTAAAAAAAAAGAAATGTAAAAAAAAAAAAATCACATTTGAAAAATATTTAAAAAAATCCGAATATACAAATTCAAAAATTGGAAAATAGCAGACTAAATATGTTGCTTAAACTTTTGCATCTTCATTGTAAATTATTCCCAAAACATTTTATAATGGGAAGAAGTTTTTAAAAGTTAAATTTTTTAAACTCGTTTTCTTCAAATTCCCTTTGTGAAATGTCTTCTTGCTTGAAGCCAACTTTCCGCTTGACCTGCTGCTCTGCCATTTTGCAGGATATGCGGAATCTACGATTTGCTCACAAACACTTGGAGGACACGTTGAAGAAATCGGTTTTTGAGGTTCTGATGAAGTTTGCGTTCCCCGTGTCCAACGGGCTGGTGAGTCACTCTCAAACTCCCTGCTACTGTTGTTGCCATCACCCCACCACACAGAACGGCTGATTTATCTCTCCTCCTCACCTCACAGCAAATCTTTGCCTTTGAATACGGGCAAGTTTTCCCTGAAAATGGATGGAAAGTTTATGATCCCATATCGGAGTACAAAAGACAAGTAAGGTCCAGGATCTTTAGTCTAAACATTTAGCCGGATCTTACAGGAAGCATTTTTACAGCCATCGTTCTTTATTTATTTATTTTTTTTTTTTCAGGGTATACCAAATGAAAGCTGGAGGATAACAAAAGTAAATGATCAGTTTGAGCTGTGTGATACGTACCCGTCCACCCTGGTGGTTCCAGTCAACATCCCAGATGAGGAGCTGAAGAGAGTTGCAGCTTTTAGAGCAAAGGGCAGGATCCCTGTGAGTATTCTATCCTCAATGTGGTCGTATTTCTCTTTCTGGCTCGGCTGATGTTCTCCTGAACTCTGCATGGTCAGGTGCTGTCATGGATCCATCCAGAGAGCCAGGCCACGGTGACACGCTGCAGCCAGCCGATGGTCGGGGTGAACGGGAAGCGCAGCAAAGAGGACGAGAAATACCTGCAGACCATCATGGATGCCAATGCTCAGTCCCACAAACTCTTTATCTTTGATGCCAGACCCAGCGTCAACGCTGCTGCCAACAAGGTCAGCTTTAAAGGTCTCTAACTAAATGGATGGGATTAGAGCTGCAAACAGGCTAAACTGCTAGCAGCATGTAACAACTGATTTTACTCAAAAAGGCAGTTGGTATTATGAAACAATAATTTTACAAAACAAATCATAAGTAATTTTATGCACTTTTTCATTAACAGAAAAGATGATACAGAATCTAAGAATTTTCTCTCCTGATATAGAAATGTATGGAAAGAGATATTCTATATAAATATATCAAAGTTAAAGGCTCATAATTAGTTCTTCTAATGTGGTTGGATATTTACTCTGAAAACTGTAGAAAATCTGGTCTTTCATTTCAAAATGTTCATTGAGTGGAAAAACATTACATATTAACGAATATTAGATCTTTTTTTTTTTTTTTTTTTTTTTACAAAATAACCAGTGGCACAGATGTTTAGCTTCAGGTAATCATATTACACTAACTAAAGCAGCTTGACTTAGTTTCGTTATTCGCTTTTTTAAGCCTTCCAAAGTCGACTAAAGACATGAATGTGATTAATATTGCTTTTGGCACAGTGGGATAATAATTTGTTCTGAGATGAATTTTTTATTTATTTATTTTCCATCCTGGAAGAAAGTCACTTCCCTTATTTGTGACTCCGCCTCTACCCTGTTTGAGTGCCTTCCTTTTAATTGTGTTACTTTATCAAGCAATTTAGGCTTGTTTTTAGGGTGAGCAAAGTTCCTGACCTGTTCATATTTTCATGACTTGGATCAGACATTTCCAAAGTTGGTCCTCGAGAGCCATTGTCCTGCAGGTATTAGAGGTTTCCTTGCTTCAGCATAGCTGATTAACAGAGGTTTGCTGAACTGCTATCATCAGAAGTAGCTGAGCTGAAGCAGGAAAGCATTAAATGCTTGTAGGACAGGGACCCTCGAGGACCGACTTTAGTCATGCCTGAAAGACATAGTCTAAAAAAGAAAAATTTCTATTTAAAAAAAAATCCTGTCTTAAAATCTGTATTATTTTTTTGTTATCTTATGCAGGTAAGTTAGTTAAACGTCAGTTTATACACCTAACTTCAGCCAATCATATATCAACGGTCATCTGTCAAATTTGATTTATATGTCGCAGCTAATATACGCAACAGTTGACATAAGAAATAAGAATCATTTAATCACTGAGTTCTGTCCCAGTGTTCAGATGGACGTCTGTGTCTTTGGCAGGCGTAGAGCTAACAGAACTGGCAGCGTTGCGAGGCGAGGGCTCAAACATGTCCAGCTGTAGGCCTTCTACACCAAATCAAGCATCTGCTGCCGTAACATCCTCTTCCACAACATCTTCGTCCCCGCATTCCTCCTCTAAATAAAAAATGTATGACGGAAGAGACTCATCCACGACCTCCGACACAAAACTCTCCTCCTCTTGCATGTTTCTGCTGCCCATAGCATTCCTTGACAGTGTTGTTGCTAAGTGCTACTTGGTCCCAATGTAATTTCCCATTGGGAACCTGCCAGCACTAAGTTGCTAACTGGTTAGCAAGATGTTTCCGAGACACCGGCCACAACCAAACTTATTTGCGAACCTTCTGCCACAACAATCCCGCCACCTTGATAAACGACCAATCACATTCACTTTATTCACAAGTCGGGCATCACTCGAGAGAATTCGGAAATGCAACCGTTTGGAACAGCCGCTTCCCCATCACTTTAAGTAGAAACTGTCACGCTCGGTTGGGCAGGTGCAGTGCAGTCAAGGTAGGTGCTTTCTGGAGGGGAGGAGCTAACACAGCCATACATAGATCAGTCATGGCAACTTGTTTTCATGGACAGGAGGCGCTGCAGCTCAGAGAGGAACATTATGCAAACTGCTCAGACATGCATGAATCAAGTACTCCTAGAGTGAAGGTTTTTCACATTTTTTTCTTTCCAAGAACATTGGAACAAATTTCTCTCCACACTAAAAATTAAACATTGAGCTTTCTGAGGAAAATTTGGTTGGTGAGCGAAAGAATTAGAGGTCATTAACTTGGAGCCCTCTTTAGGTCAGAAATGGGGGTAGGTTTTGTCTTTCTAATTATTTGGATGCCAATGTTTTCCTTGTTTTTGCAGATGAAAGGCGGTGGCTTTGAAAGCGAGGATGCGTATCAGAACGCTGAGCTTGTGTTCTTGGACATCCACAATATTCACGTCATGAGGGAGTCTCTCCGTAAACTGAAAGATGTAGTTTACCCCAACATTGAGGACTCCCACTGGCTGTCCAACCTGGAGTCAACCCACTGGCTGGAGCACATTAAGGTGGGCGGCATCAACAATGCCGCACCTACATTTCTCCGGCCTCTCTGTGTTTATATTTCTGCTTGTTTTGCAGTTGATCCTGGCTGGAGCGCTGAGGATCGCAGACAAGGTGGAGTCCGGGAAGACGTCTGTGGTGGTGCACTGCAGCGACGGCTGGGACAGGACCACCCAGCTCACCGCCCTGTCCATGCTCATGCTTGACGGCTACTACAGAACCATCCGCGGATTCGAGGTCTTGCTGGAGAAAGAGTGGCTGAGTTTTGGGCATCGCTTCCAGCTGGTAAAATAAACCCTAATTTTGTCAGTTTGTTAGAAATATTTCCAAGTTGTAGTTCAGAAACACAACCGACCATCCTGATTTTGGTTCTGTCAGCGGATCGGTCATGGCGACAAAAACCACACAGACGCAGACCGCTCGCCTGTTTTCATCCAGTTCATCGACTGCGTGTGGCAGCTGACCCGACAGGCAAGTCAAAGATGACCGCCTCAGACATTTTTATAAGAAGAAAATGTATGGAGTGAAATTTGTTCCATTATTGTTGCAAGCAAGATAACGCGTATTATGGATGAACATTTAAAAAACTTGAGTTTTACTGATAGCATTCCGTTTCAACTTGCATTTTAGCTGTCAAATTCTCTCCACCTCAATCCCAATACAATAAAATGCTAATGTCAAGCTGACCAATAGAAATTAGTCTTTGCTCTTAGAAATGTAGTATGTATGTAATTTTGCTCAGAGAATGTGATCTGGAAAACGCTTAAAATAAAAAAAAAACATGTACAAAAAGAATAATTTTTAAAAATAGATTTGAGAAAGCAGAAAAGTTACACTCAATTTTTTAAATTTTTTTTTTTTATTGAATATTATTTTTCAATGTTTTCAAGGTAGAGAGCAATTTGAAAAGAATAGTAAAGAAATAAATAAAAAATTAAAACATGAAAAAATAGAAAAAAAATTGGATTCAAAAATCTGAGAATACAGTTAAGTTAATTGTAAAAACTATTTTAATAGAATATAATTTCTGGATTGCGGTTTTCTCAAATGTGCATTGGCAAAACATGTTTCTTGCTTGAAACAATATTGGAACAAATTTCCCCCCCATTTAAAAAATACCCTTAAGATAATTAGAATTTGTTTTTTTCTGTAGTTTCCTGCAGCATTTGAATTTAATGAGTACTTCCTGGTAACCATCCTGGATCACCTGTACAGCTGCCTGTTTGGGACATTTCTGTGTAACAGTGAACAGCAAAGGTTGAAGGAGGTGAGCACCGTTTGTTTCTCCGATTTCTTTGTTTTAACAGATGTTATTCTTGTGTAGCCACAAGAAGCATATTTTTTCTCACTTCAAATGTATATTAGGTTTTCTGAGAAACTGGTTTTATTGTGGCTTTAATGGTGAAGAAATGGTAAACTTCTCTTTTTATCTTTCTTTTATTTGACATTTCATGGGATCCATACTGAAAGTGTACGAACACCAAACACCTGAAAATGGTGTACACCATAAAAAAATTTCGAGTTTTTTTTAAACCTTACTTAGGGACAAAAACGAGCAATTTTCCCTTATAGATCACAGCTCTGCCTCAAACTTGCTGCATAAGGCTCCACCTCATTTGCACCACAGGAACTTCATTGTGTATTTAGTGGTTACCAATGGCAACTGAAGAGAGGAGGGCAGAAAAACATAATTTAGAGAGTCAGATACATATGTTTGGTAGCTGCAGTAAATAAAAGGAAGCGATATTAATGACACCTTCAGAGTCTGAAGTGATAGAATTAACAAGGACATCCAGGCAGAATTTTTGCAGTTATATCTCAGTTTTATTAATTAAATTAAGTCATTATTTTTTTTCCTAAAAGCGGCTTTAGAGAGGTGGTTATTTAATTTCTGATTTTGTAAAAGTTTTACAGTCACATTAATTATCTTTAAAAAATTTGATCCTGACAGCATATTAGTTATTTCCACCAAGCCTCCGTCCTGATGGTGTTCAGATCGTATTTGAGCCGAAATAGAATTTCTGCAAAGGGGCAAGGAGAGATGAACAGATGTGATGCCATCTTCTGGCAGAGCCACAGAACCATCAAAAAGCCAGATGGAGACAATTGAGGCAGCTACCTATTAAGGCTGATTTATACTTCGAAACTAGATCATCTGTGAAGGTGTCGCGGTGAACGCAGAGACATCCCCGCCCCCTCCACAGACTCACTGCTGCACCTCTCCAAAATTGTAGGTGACCGCAGATGGTGCCGCAGACAGGAGCCCTCTGACTGGTGAAATCTGCATCCGCTCTACACTATGCGTATCTCTTGTTTGGTACCCTACCGACTTGTTTTGTTTGTATGACCGCCATTGCAGTAAACGACTCATGAAGATGCACTAGCTAGAAGAGCGAGGTGCGCGAAAACCAAGGGACCCTTTTTCCAACTGGATCCCTGCTCTTTTTCGCCCTCATGTCCGTCCGTTGTCGGACAAACTTGCCCCCATTTTTCACTGCCTCGGCCGTATCTAGACCCACAGCTAGTTCGTGATTTTCCCCGTTTGCGTTGCGGCGTGCAATAACATAGCGCAGGCCACGCTTCAATATTGAGCATAAATCAAAAATGTCTGCTTCATACCTGCGACAAGCACTGTGGATTTGGATCCATTTAAGTCCATCTATGGTTCAAGCTTCATAGGAAGTGAAATCAAAACATTGGAGAGGAAGCAGCAGAATCTGAAGGACAAAGCAGATAAGATGCAGATGTTATGATTTTGTTTTTACTTTTTATTTTAAAGGAGATTCCCAAGAGGACAATCTCTCTGTGGTCCTACATCAACAGCCAGCTGGAAGAGTTCACCAACCCCATGTATGTGAACTATTCCAACCAGGTACTGTTCCCTGTTGTCAGCTTACGCCACCTGGAGCTTTGGGTCGGCTACTACATCCGCTGGAACCCTCGCATGAAACCGCAGGTACGTCATAAAATCTTCTTTTAATTCAAAGGCCTCTAGCCTCCTCCATCGTTCCAGAGGTTAAAACCATCTACCTCCTCCTCCTTTTTTTCTGTCGTCTGTTAGGAACCGATTCACCAGCGCTACAAGGAGCTTCTAGCGAAGCGAGCCGAGCTTCAGAGGAGAGTGGACGAGTTGCAGCGGGAGGTGACAAACCGCTCCGTGTCATCGTCCTCAGAGAGGGCGGGCTCGCCCACTCGCTCCATCACTCCTGTGCAAACCATGGTTTGACTCTATTCTGACTGGAGGCACAGCCCTGCCTGGGGGGTTCGGATCGGTGTCACAACTGGAAGCAAGTAGGACCTGGGTGTCCTCTTTAGGGGTTTGATGCACTACCACTGAATGTTCAAACAGGCGGGCTTCTGACATCATTGGACTGGAGCCATATGTAATAAACTCGTCCTCTGACGTAGGTGGATATGTGAATGAAACGAGGAAGGACTCGGATGCCTGTTGACACACCTACAATTTAACTACACTAATCATTAACGAGTTAAATTTGTATGCCTTATATGCTTCATAGGAACACACTTCTCTTTATATCTTGAAACACAGCAGCTGACCGTTTGGGAACATTATGGGTGCTGCAAAAAAAGGTAGATGGGGCAAAAAGCAAAGCAGTGGTTTTGTAGTTTTATTTCCAAGCTGTAGCTCAAGAGAGATGATACTACACTGCAAAAACTCATTTCTAAATAAATAAGGGTCTTAAAGTGTATTAACCTTTATTTGAGCAGGTAATTAAGATGATCAACCAGTGGAAGGAGTATTTTTGCCCTTAAAATTCAATGATTAGATTTTATGTATTTGAAATAGATTTTTTTTTTTTTTTAAACCTAAAACAATCTATTTCATTGTTTTTCTTACTTGCCTGATCAGAGGGATCAAGGGAAAATCCACTTATTCCAAGGGAAATTCTCTTATTTATAATTTAGTTGTTGCAGTGTGACATTCTGAACATTTTTAAAAAGGTTCATCTACATTAATTGATTATTTTTACTGGAAAAATGTCTGTCTAACCAAGTCCAACTGTCTTAGGTCGAGCCAAAAATCTTTTTCGCCTTTCTTTTTTTATATATATATTTCCAATAAAAAAAGCGGACTCTGTTAGATTATTGATCTTATTTTGATCAAATTCTACTCAAAATTAGTATAAAACTCTGCCAGTGTGGTGAGACACTGGTATTTCAAGAAATCTTAGCAAGTTTGGTTGTCTTACTGCACTGGAAGAATATTAAACATGTTATGAGTAGAACTTTCTTCAAATAAAATTAATAATCAAACAGGAACTTTTAGGCTTAATTGGAGATTGTAAGACCTGGTCAGAGACTTTGCAGTGTTTAGCTTGTTGTAAACAAACATCTGTTATACTTTTAGAACAGATATAATCTATACATTCCTTTTACTGAGCAGTTTAACTTCTGAAAGTTTAAATTCTTCTAAGAAGCTAATATTATTTATTATCTCTTTGTTTGAACTTTGTATTTCTAAGCAACCTATCTCTATGCTAAAAAAAATCTAAAAATAAGTATAAGATTTATTAGATTAGTGTATTTACTCCTCATTCCAGCAGGTACATAAAACAAGATAAATAAGACTTGGATTTAATGATAATTGTACTTATTTTTATTCAACCATTTGCTGTTTGGGCTCCTAATTCAATGTTCTCTGGATGATATCACTAAATCACTTTACTGCAAATACTATCACTTTACTGCAAAATATGCAACAATTTCAGCTCAATTTTTTCGATAAATGGAATATAATAATTTAAATCTGTGCCTTTTTTGGATAAAATAAAACAAGCATGCACAGATCATAAATAAATAAATAAAAAAACATTGTTAGCATTGTTTTTCTGCATATGTGCAACACTTGCATGAAACACTAATCAGCTTCATAGTTTTTTCCTTCCATTTAAACTGGTCAAATGTTAATGGTTTAGTTAAAAGACCCAGTAGTACTAGCAAGTATCCTCTAGTTGTAAAAAGTGCCTTTCATGGTGAAATAAGGAAGGTTTTCTGGAGTTGAATGTTTAGTGGGATTCACACTGTTACGTTTATGTTGTAGCTCTTATTAAAATTTCTCTGTTTTTTTTTTTTTTTTTATTTAATTGTATGTTAATCTGTGTCTACATGTGTATCTCTAATGTCACTGATCATTGTCCCATTTTAAATGTACAGCTATTAAAGTCATACTCTTCCACACCTTTCCCTTTGCTCTATGCACGACTACTTTAATTCATTTTTTCCCCACCTGCATATTCAACTTTACTGTTGGATGTCAAACTGCATTAAACTATTTAATAAAATTCATGCTTGCATTGCTTCATTGAAATTGGACAGGAGAACGATCCCAGGGAATCCCTGTGATCCAGAAACACCGATTGTACGGAGTGGAATTTGGTCCATAATTGTTGCAGCAAAGGACACGTTTTGTTAACGAAATTTATATATGTAGTCTATATGTATATATATATATATTTTTTTATTCATATTTGGTTCTCACCTGCAACTACATTTTTGTAAAGATTTGAATAAAGTTAAAAGAAAATAAACCGTAGCTATTTTAGCTACGTTTTATTATGCATACAAATTTTTTAGAAGTCCAAATTTTATTGCCTTTTGTTCTCTCTGTTCTACTCATCACTAAAACACATGAAATAGACTGCTGTTAAATTCTTGAAGATAGGGGAGATAGGGAAAATTGTCAAATAGAAAATCACTAAACATTACTGATACTGTTTATTTCATCCTTTATTCATCAGCCTGCTTTGTGTTTATATGGCTTATTTGTCACAATTCTTGTATCTTTATTTTTATGTTGTTCAAAAATTAAAAAACAGAAAAATCTATTGAAGTCCTGGATCTTTTAAAATATTTTTAAGCTAACTCGCTGTTTTGTTGTTGAACTCGCTCTTGGACCACAATGAAAGGAATACTTCAGATGTCTAAAACAGTGCATATGAAAAAGCTGAATGGAAAAATACATGTTTTTGCATGAAAATGCGACTTGCACAGCTACAATTCACATCATTTAGAGCAAAATGCAGCACCTGGTTAAACTCTGTAGAGAATTTCAGGCAAAAAAAGTAAAGAGATAAATTCATAAAATTTGAATTAGCCATATTGACACAATATGATTTGAAGTTTTTTACTCTATCGTTTTTTCACCCCTATCGTAGCATATACGCTGTATGCTCTGATAGAAACACCTCAACTAGTTTAATAATCCCTGTATGTGCATATTTTAGGTGTGGTTTTGATCTATTATGTCAGGTGCTGTTGCATTTTTATTTTATATGGACCTTTTTGGTGTCTGGAATATATTGATTGAACAAGTCCAAACCAAACTTTGCTTTTCATAGAGAACTTGACTTATCACTGAAACTTGAAAAAGACCAGATTGCTGTTAAACTCTTCAAGATGGTAATGTTCATAAATCATATAAAACAATACTACAGTCTTTACTGACTTTTTTTTCAATCTTTATAATGTTATTGGCTGCTTTACATTGCTTTTTATTTGTCATAAAGCTTGTATTCTTTTATATGTCTGCTCTCCAAACTAGTTTAAACTGCTAATAACTTTAAATCACATCTGTTGAAGTCTCTTTTAAAGCGGTTTTAAGTTAACTCTCTGACGTAAGAAACTATGCGGGCCGCTGATTGGCTGTGCTCGTTTCAAACCGTAAATCCCGCGGACGGATGTTGTGTCGCGATAGGTTTCCTTCCTTCTTCGGGAGCTCTCGGCCTCTTCCGGTTTACACGACAGAGGGAAAAAAAAAGACACTGAAAACACAAGGAAAATACATTTTCTCGGCGATAACAGCGCTAACTGAACTGATTGGAGTTTAATGTTAGAAAGGATTCGCTCCGACTTGACAGACTAAAAACCGAATAGAAGCCACGGCGGCAGGGCGACGCAGCGAATAGAGCCCCGGATATCAGGAGTTTATTGTTCTTAGCTCGCTCACTCCAGCTGAGCTATTTCTGTATTTGCCCTGAGCTACGTAGCCGTAGCCGAGCGGGCTAACCGTCGGCCAGCGCTGGATGCCAACGCGGTGTTTGTTCCCAACTGAACAAACCGCGCCGTTGATTGGTACAGTTCGCTGCCGGATCTCGGTGTTCCTCGGCTAGCTCGGACGGCTGCTCGCCTCAGGCTACGATGGCAACGTCCGCTCTGTACGCCTGCACCAAGTGCAACCAGCGGTACCCCTTCGAGGAGCTGTCGCAGGGCCAGCAGCTTTGCAAGGTGTGTGAGAGGGAAAAGGAGACAAACAATCACGACCTTAGGAGTGTGTTTCTGTGCGGCTGTTTTGTTTAGGCCACCTTAGAGAGATTTAGCAAGGACTCGGATTATGTAATGACTTGGAAAACGTCCATGTGAACGTAATGTTCAGTTTTATTACAGAGTTGTAGCGTTGTTACCACACCCCGACCTGCTACATACTTGGTAACCTGTTCCTTAATGTTCATCTTGTTTTATACGTGTTACTCTTGTAGTGCTGTATGGAACCGATGAGGATTAATGGCCTTTTTTAGTCAGAAAAAAGCCTTATATAATTTCTAAATGTCAATAATTAGCCGTTACGAGTTAAGATTTAAAATTGTATTTATTTTACCTCTGATCACGCGTGGATCATTACCCCAAAAGCATAAGATCAACCAAAGAAAGCTTTAAGAGACTAACATTATTCTTTTTTTTAAATGTTTTTATGACAGTAAACCAAATAAAGTAAACTACTTATGTCAAAGAGTCATTAAAAGATAAGAAAGGGGACTCTCAGCAAATATTGGCATTAAAAAAAAGATTAATAACTTGTTGGATTATTGTTGCAGAACAATATTCCATTGGCGATGTATTTCCTCCCTCCAGCCCTCTAGGTGGCGCTAATACCCTTATGGTGGGTTTGCTGCTGATAGACTTGCAGGCAGTAAGCAAATCAATCCTGTTGCCAGATTTGTATATTATAACAGAGAAAGAAAAAGCAATAAAATTGCCAATGGTCAGTTTTGTCGGAAAAAAAATCGCTTGATTTTTGCCAAACATCGCAAATCTCTAAACAATCCCTCCCTCCTTTATATGATTATAGGTATAAAGGATTAAGATCTCTAGAAAAAAATTTCAACAAGAAAAATGTGTTGAAATATTTTTTTGTAATTAACTCTTATGTTTTTATATCCGAACTGAATGCATTGAAACCTACGTAATTTTTTAACTGTAGCTACATGGCTTTCCCTGTGGCTTTTTAAATAGGGAAATTATAGACTACAAATGTATCAATTCTAATTCGATAAGGCTAATATGTTGATTATTTTTGATCAGAGAATGAATCCGAAAATAAACTCGCTATGATCAAGAATAGACCCCCTTTAAAATATTCCTCATTAGTCACACAAGATGTACCTTTCTACCAGAGTTTTGTTTCTGCATTTCTCTTGTAATACCTATGAGTCAAATCTTTGTTTGAAGAGGATATATTTAAAAAAACAAAACTTTTTTTTCGTTGTTGCAGGAGTGTCGCATTGCACACCCAATCGTGAAGTGCACATACTGCAGATCTGAGTTTCAGCAGGAGAGGTGAGACGTGTTCCAACGTTTTAACTTTGGATTTAATTTAATTTATTTTTTGTGGTTTAAACCCATATTTCTGTTCATCTACAGTAAAACGAATACGATCTGCAAGAAATGTGCGCAGAACGTCAAACAGTTTGGAACGGTGAGTAGTAAATAGAATTCCAGCTGCAGCTTCAGAACCAGTCGTCCTTGAACCTCTTGTTCCTTTCCTTTGCCTTTTTTTTTCTAAGTGAATCTGCTCAAGATGCCCCAAATTAATTCAATAATGGAAGGAACTACACAGTTTGTGGGGAAAACTCCAGATGTCTAAAACTCTACATTACTGTTACTGAGGGAGAGTCATAGGACTTGAAACACAGCAAAAAAAAAAAAAATGACCAAAAGTTTTCTCCTAAAAACCAATGTTGCACAATGCACAAGTGCAATCCAAGCTACAAACAAATCACTTAGCTTGATAACTGGTAGACAGACATTTTTGTTTGCATTGAGGATTTTTTTTAGAAGCCAACTGGTCAATCTAGAAGATGCGAGTGTTAAAAATATAATGCAGC